CAGTGCTCCGCGTGCAGATAATGCTGTGCGGTAAGGTGTAAATACACAAACGAATTGTACCGAACACAATAGAACAGCTAATATACACGTTATGTACGAAGTTATTACAAGGATAGCTCAATCAGACATTCTGTTAAGAGGCCTATTAGAAATATTTGCATTTCGGGGGGGCGTTAACGTCTTGGAAATTAGTTCCCTTGAGACAACAACACATTTTGTACAGTAGGCTTCGTTCAGGTACACTTCAGGTGACAACTAACGGTGTTTACCTTGTTCTCCGGACCACCGTTTAGAGCCGTATCAATATTTGCCTACTCGTTGGCCGGTTGTACCTCGCCGAATCCGCAGCCTAATTGACTGCGGTATTTATCATCTTTTACACAACACACAAAGAACGAGAGAAAAAAAGAAACATAATATAACGTCTTTATTAGATTTTTTCTCGCTCTCCGTTTCGTTTGTTTTCGACGAAAACAATAATATTTTCTCGTTATGTCGGCGGTGGCTTTGCCTGTGTATATACCACCTGCGTGTATACCTTGCATATGGATGGCGTTGTTATACTTGGGCCTCGGGTAGGGCTCGCATTGTAACCAACACGAAATAAATTTTGATCGGTACGCTAAAAAAAAAAAAAAATCCCATGATCGAATAAACGCAGTCCGTGGTGAAGTTGGCATTATTATTTTTTATAATATGATAATAATGGGTAAACCGGTTTTTTAGAAAGCATAGAAACTTGGTGATATATATATTTATTTTTTTTGTATTATAACACTATACACATATTTATCGTGTTTCGGGCCTAACGGGCACAACGACCGGGTGAACGTAATTAGAAAATACGTACAATTCAAATGTTTAAAATATTATTTAATTTTTATACAATGGGGAAAGACGATAAACGCGTACAAATCAAACGATAATGTGAATAACGGTTTTGGATGTGTGTGTGTGTGTGGGACATCATGTTTTATAGGCGTCTACAATGTGAGAATCGAACAGTACAAAGTTTCTGAAGGTCTAATGAAAATAATAATAAAAACCAGTAACACTATGATTCGTCGGTATGACCGTGCAATGACAAACCTTTTATTACTTATTAATTGCCGTGTACAAAGCCTAACGATTTTGCTAACTTATATCAATCCCAATATTGCTAACGATGAACGCAATACGCAGTAATTACCCCATTTGCGCAATCCTTATAACCATTTTTTTAAGTAAAAACAAAAATAATAATCACAGTGACTTTGACAATTATTATTGTTGTATACGTTAATTTTAGTGTTTATAAAGTTAAACGTTACTATTTATGAGTTATTATTATTTTTGTTGTTGTAAACATGATTGATAACGAAAATAATAAGTCCGCAAAATTGGAGTAGAAATAAATTATTTGTTGAACACGCAACGTCAGACTGCGTAATATATCAATTATTAAGTGCGCAAATAGTTACTAGCAAAATATAAAATCTCCACACAAATATTCACTACTCTACACCCAAATAGTAACAAAAGTAAGCTCTCAGACACCTTCTCTAGTCTTTCGTTGGTAGGTAATTATTATAGAAATAAAAGTCATAACATAACAACATTCAATTTCTTCTGTATACTAAAACAAAATCTCATATATCTATAACGGATACTGGTTATATTGTTACAATAATTACTTTAATTCTATTCTGAGACCCAAACACGCAGCCTCAAAGTGATTTAGTGTTTAAAATAACAACATTCAAAACGCTTGTACAGGATCGAGAAGGGTTGGTTTATTTTTTTCAAAATTAATTTTAATGTTCTCAGTTTCGTTCCACCGAAAATAATGAAAACCCATTGAAAACTACTTTTTCAGTTTTACCTTTCTTTTGTGCGTTTTAATTTAATACATGTTCGTTCGATGTTCGACATCAATTTATTATAACCCTGCGACAAACGTTTGAACTCGTCGAAATCGTATTTTTTGACATTCCAGACACAATTTATAAGTATAGAAAATAAATTAATGTAAAACAGGGGTATATCTTAAGTGCAAGGTATCCCTATCGGCGGAGACGAGTAACCACGACGTACACTGTAAAAATGTTAAGCCCGGGAGAACAAATTTGTCGGTTGAAAAAATATATACATCATTCCTTTTCCTTTTTGCCTATGAGTGAATACAATTTTTTTATATTTTAACCGCCGCCGTGACTGGAAAACAAGATTGGACGTTTTATGTGCGACATCGAAGGCAGTAAAATAAATAACACGCCGTTGATGTTATCAATATAATTATATGTATTATTCAGTCGATAAACACAAGTTTACAACGACTTAATGTAGTGAGACGGTTTTTTTTATTATTATTTTTATTGTTTGTTTAACAGCCACAATATTTTTCTAATAACTTAATATTCGAGTGGTCTACGGTGAGCCGTACAGTCAAAACGATTTGACCGAATTGAATAATGTAACAAAACAAAAGCTTTAACCGGACGACATGCTGTACACACTGGCTGTGCATATTATACAAATTAGCCATGCTTCATTTATGTGTTATTATAAGAAAATGCACCGTTAGCAGCTTTGACCCCGAATAAGTTCGTCACCGTTAGTAAAAAAAAAAATACATATTATTAAGTTACCTATTATATTGTTAAGAGCGGCGTCGAATATTGTTCGAATAAAAATTTTCAAATTTCGTAATGATCATTGGAATAAAAAAATTATTCCTTGATTTTTCATTCGATTATATGTTTGGTTTTTTTTTTATTCACGCTCAGTGTATTATCCGTTATCAGAGTTAAGCATTTATTAAAATATAGATACACGAATGAAAAATTCAAATTTTTTCTATTCAACATATATTATGCTTTTTTCTTTATGATTAAATAAACTACTAACTATTTAGTTAGACTGATTTAGACAACAAATCAAGTCAATCATTTCCTCGACAAATATTTACAGTTTCGTAGTTGTATTTTTATAAAAATCACATAAAGAAAAATCGTTCAAAAATAATAGCTCTAAAATCGTGTTATTACTACTTTCGGAGAAAATCGGTGACTTACGTTAAATTGATCACCTTGTATTACAATTTATTTTTATGTCCTACATTTAAAATTGATTTTATCACTTTTATATCTATAATTTATTTGTCGAGTAACGGGTTGTACGTTATTTTTTTTTTTATTCTTTATTCATTATTCGACTCGAAATTGCACAACTCTGCCAAAAGCGGTGTTTTTTAATATCGTTTGGCCGGTTATTTTTATAGTAAAATTGTATTCACATTGTATAGGTATATGAACTGTGGGATAGATGGATTTGCGATTATTTTTATTATTACATTATGCGTACAGTATTGGACAGGTCATCATTCACAAAGGCAACGCGGACAATGCGGAATTGTCCTTCCGGACGCGGCCAAGTTCGGATCAATGGACCGTAAAGATACGATAGAAACGCGCGTTTTTCTTTCAATGCCAACCCCCCCCCCCCCGGCCAAAAAGCCTTTGTGCTTTTTTTTTTTTACACCGCGAGGGGCTTCTTTGATAGTCTAAATTTTCATTGGCCATCGAAAACCGCCAAATCGGGATTTGTCGTTAAACACGGCGTTTATCATAATAATAACAATACATCCCGAGACCATGATATAACAATGTCTGTAAAATATGATAGCGTAAAAGTCGCTACGACAGATACTCCAGGCAGTTTCAGAGGACGACGTAGGGGGAAGTGCAAGATGGGTGCAATAAGAAAAAGTAATGTAATATTTTTCGCGACAATTTGAATTAAATTTTTTTTTTTTTATAGATTTTCGTTTACTTTTTTCCTGCATCAACGAAAATAGTTTTGAAATCATTAGATACATCAATAGTACCGTTCATTACTTGTTGAAAATTATTTGGTCTATGTTAATTGTGTTTGTGTAATTAACCTGACCTAACCTTTCTCCGAATCATCACTACATAATTTATTTAAATACGTGTTAATGGAAATCAATTAACTTTCGTTTTTCAAATGGTAATAAGTTATAATTATATATACATAGTGATATTTTTTTTTTTTTTGAACGTTTATGCAAATGGTAGCGGAACAGCTATTTTGTAATAAATTTGGACTGTACCCTTAAAAAACCGGTTTACGTCAATAACAACATCATACCACCAAAAAAAAAAAAAAAGATTATTTCTGTACAATAATTACTATTTAACCAAAAAAATTAAAAACCCACCACGAAATAACAGGTGAAAACGACATGTATTTATAATAATGGTATTATGATAATTTGTTTCTTTTGTACATTTTATTCAAGAGAAATATATTATTATGTTAAATATTAATATTTAATGATTTAATAAATACATTTTTTTTTTTAGAAATGTATTAAATCATATTTTTTCCAAAATTAGAACAGATATATTGTGTTCATTTTTTTTTGTGTTATTTGTTATTATAACTTACTTATTTACAAAAATTTAAATTGGCTAATAATTACACCTTTTTGTAGACATTTATGTTAAAAAGTCTATTAAAATACTTACAACCACTGTTAGTTTAAAATATATAATTTTTACACAGAAAATAGAGTTTATGACAGAAATTTAAAATGAGCTCATGTGTGACGATATTCTTTAAATTTTAAAGTATACACTTTTTCGAGTTACAGGTCTTTTTTTTATACGCTTGTTACTTGTAATTAAATATTTTGTTTTTTGAGTATATAATTTACTGGTTTGACATTCAGTATATTTGATTTGATTTTAAAGTTAATTTAATATAATTTAAAAAAAATTCAAATAGGCTTAAAGAAATTAAAAAATATGACTTCGTTGGTAAAAACCAAAAAAATTGTAATACCTCAAAAATGTTAAGTCTCTTTGAAATTCATACGATTTAACAATTTTAATTATGTAATCGAAACCATTTAAATGATCATACTTAAAGTTTAATATTTATAGTTGATAAGACCAAAGCGAAGCTGATATCGTTACTTGAAATTTTAGCAATTCCAATTATGCAATAATATATAATTATATTTGTCATCAAGGTTTATTTTATAAAATAATACAATTTTAATGTAAATTACATTAAATTTCTAAGATTGGTAATAATATGATGGATAATAATATGTATAGATATATTGAAGAATTAAAAATAGGTAATCCAATATTTATTATCGTCTATTGATCTAAAATCTAAATAGTGATTTGGCTTGTACTTTCGTTAACCTTGCCAACTATTATTAAATTACAGTTTTTCGTTTACTAATACTCTAATGAAACGCCATTTTTGTTAAGCTCCAACAGTAATCCCTCCGTTTGGACCGTTAAGTCGAATTCCATTCTTACTCATTTCTATACCATTTGGACCGCCGGTTTTGATTCCTTTGCCACTCTTGCCAGCTATATTTCCCATTCCTGTTACATCCCCTGGAAGTTCTTCGTCATGATACATCTTTCCATATGGTACACCACCAGTTGCGGGTTTATTGCTTCCTGGTTTATTCGAATATGTGTTGTTATTGTTGTTTGTCTTTAATGAGTTTAGATTTCCATATTGATCCATCTCATTAGTTTTTTGATTTGGGTTTGTGTTCTTTCTTGACTTATTACCTAGATAAAAATTGTAAACAATATAATATCTGTGATACCCATTTGTTAAATGCTAGTTAAATACAATGTTTCAATATTATTTTTAAATAATACAATTTCAAGTAGAAAGCAAAATCGGTACTTATGAAAAACATAATATTAATATTAATCTAACTTTTACAATGTAGGTACATAATAATATTTTAAAATAAGATTCTTAAAAAAATATAACAAATTTTAAATATTACTAGTAGTGTTTTGTCTTTTTAAACTTTAAAATAATACAATATATTTTTTTCAATTACCCGATGCTGTAAAACCTTGACCGTGGTTTAAATTATTTTCTAAAATATGATTTCCTGTTTCTTTTAAATGATTGATTCCTTCGTTTGCTTTAACTCCTGTAACTTTTTTTTCGTTGGGCTTGATTCCATTATCGTTAGAATTTACTACTCCGCCATGACCTTTACTTGTTAATGGTCCAACTAGATCACCATATTGATTGATAGTGTTTTTATCCTGGTTGTTTGGATATTGATTCTTTTTAGGTTGATTGTCTGGAAACAAATTTAAAACATTATAAATAAACTATATTTTCTTAAATGTAAACTTAAATTTTTAGAGCGCAATTTCAAAAACTACACCCGAAATGGCTTATGAATTTATGGTATTGTTTTGGTTTTTGACTGTATTGCAATATCTAAAAAATGTCTCAAACAAATATGGTATTTTTTTTTTGACTAATTTTTTTAAAGACATTTTTTCATATTCCAATAATCGTTTAATCAAGCCTCAGGCTCGTCTTATTTATGAAATCATGTTGTTTCGTATAAAATTAATATTTACTACTGTGATTGTTCAATCCGTTCGTCCAGTGTTCCTGTCGTGAATTCACTAAAAAAAAAAAAATTGAAATTTAATTATAAAAATAACCAATAAACTAACATCAGTAGCAGTGAGAAAGAATAAGGATATCAAAACACGACTTACTGCCATTGCCAGTAAAATAATTGTCATTGTCATAGTTATTATGTCCGTTGTATGGAGTGTTACGATTAATAGAGTTGTACGGTTGCATTCGGCTATTTGGTGGTGACTGTTTTTGGTTTTGATCAAATTTAGATTTGTTCCCGTCCATCATAATATTGTTGGGTCTGATTCGCTGGTTTCCGTTAAAACTTTTTATATTTTCTTGGTTTCTCAAGTCTCCGGTATCTTGCCAACTCGAACCATAGCTGTTTCGGTTATACCATCCGTTTGATTGCATAGGTGGTGGTGAACTCCGATATGATGGAAAGTTATCTAGAAAAATACGACACGAAATATGTGTAAAGTGTAAACCATATTATACAAGTATAATATTTTTGACAATGGAAATTATAGCTAAACATTTCATGTTATCCAAAATACAATTACAACTATTTATTTTACATGAAGATTTGCAAAATATACATAACGAGACTATTTTGTATTTGTTCTAATGTAAATAAAGTTCTTTTGTTCCAAATTCTTTTTTTTTTTTTTTTAATGTTACTACCGAAAGAAAAGACGGATTTTACTTATAAATATTTTTCAAATACTATGAATAGAATTAGTGTCAACGCTATATTTGGTCTGTAATAGCTTTATTACTGGATTGAAAAATGGAATAATCACTGGGTTAGTTTTTAAATATTGTTGGATAAAAACTCATTTTCAGAAAACTGGTAAAAATTAATGTCATATAAGTAAATCAATTATAGCTGTTCGTTTATTTACTATATTAGTCTATTTTTTTTTTTTTTTAAATCGTTTAGTTACATCGGTGGTTTTATTTATGAAACAAGGCAGATTATAAAAATAATGTAATATTTAAATTATAATTTTTTAAACATTTGTACAAACAATTTGTACATTTTCTTGTATTCCTGCATCAATAAAAAGTGTTTTTAAATTTTTATACGATATCAGTATTATTATTTACTACTTAATTTTTTTAAATATTATAATTAGTCTACCTTTAACAATTCTCAAATTACAGGTTAATAAACCTTAATTACAGCTAAAATAATAACAACGCACTTTGTCATCTATTCAAATTGGAGATACCTTTTAACGACGATTACATTAATTAACATTACCCTAATAATTATTCCACCTACTTGTAAACGGCGAACGTGGTGGTGGTGGTGGTGGTGGTGGACCCCCGAATGACTGTTGATAACCTAGGAAATAAATATGAAAATGATTATAACAAACAAAATAGGCCAATAATAATTCAACCTACTGCCAAAATGTCGTGGTGGTGGATGTTGCGGTCCGTGTGGTTGTGGATACCCTAAGAAATAAATATAAAATAGTTCTAGTAAACAATAAACGTAAAGTTTTTTTTACATACTCTCGTCGTTGTAGCCGTAGTTTTTATTTCCATACATATTCCCGTACCTGCCATCTGCCATGTCGTACCTGTTGTATTCATTCAAATTTTGCTGCGGATTCGTTGGAAAATGTTGAAAATTCCCTTTTCCCTGTTTATTAAATGTATTTAATTTTTCCTCGCTCTCTGAGCTGTCACTCTGTGAGCTTTCGTTACTCTCTGCGCTTTCTTCACTCGAGTCGCTTGCAACATTTTGGTGTTTCTCCAAATTATCACTCCAATTTGTTGTTAATACCGAAGGGGTTGCCTTAGTTTTATCAAGTTTACCGTCCATTTTTATATCGTCAATTACATTATTATTGCCAACCGTTTTTCCTTTCCTTTTATTTTCGATCATATTTTCTACACCGAATAGTCCACCGTCAGTTGTGCCGACGCTTCCATTTCCGGGTTTTTGGGGTTTTTGAAGCCCACTTGGATTGACTGGTTTATCGTCTAAAACGTCAATTAAACAATAATTAAATTAAGAGAACATCAACTGTACAATTTTATATTATACAGTCATTTTTTTTTTTTTTTTTACAGTATTTAACCTGTCCGTGTAATTACCATTGCTTGCGTTTCTGAAAAAAGAAAAATTAATTTTCGCTTATTAAAAATCCACATAGGTACTACATATTTGGACACACATAATAATTTTATAGAAAAACACACCGATAGACGAATCGATGATCGATATATTTTTCAAATATTTATATGTTTTTACAATAGATAATATTTGCAATACTTACACGGTGTATGTTGCTAGGCAAACGAAAAAAATCATGTAAAAGCTCAACATGATGTTAGCTTTATTTTTCAGTGTTAAACGGATTAACAGTATTTTACTACTGTATTGAAGATCGTTGTGATTACCTTTCCTTATATTCTCAATGATCAGGACAATTATTATGTCAACAATTAAATTCACAGCTTGTGGCACAAGTGTTTTTGTGCGTTGATATTTTGTACAACTAAATAAGTTACCTTTATAACTTGTACGTAAACACTAAATTTTAATTAGTACACACAGTAGTAAATTAATTGTATTTTTGTTTTTCCCATTAGTGTATTTAGTTTTCTGTTGCAAAACATAGTTATCACAACCATATTTCTTTTATAAGTCCATTGAATGGGTATAATTAGTGTATACTGTTTTCATTACTAATAAATTTACAATAACAAATTAAAAAAGTTAAATATAAAGAGTTTTAGTTTTTCTTTTTAGTTTGTTATTAGTGTTACAACATATTATACAAAAAACCGGCGATGTACACTTTGCGTTTGTGTTTACAATAAAACATAATATTATTTAACTCACTTCGTTTATGGTAAAGTATTACATGTTGTAACATTTGTTGACAAATGTCGAATATAAAATGTTTTTAAATATTTTACTACTATAAATATAAACACCGTAGTTCATATTAATATGATCGATTTTTAACTTGCATTACACTTTTTTATTAGTGTGTAATATTATATTAAATATTTCAGATTTCAATACACTTTCTATTGTTTCAAAACTGCAATTCGACATTGTATTATTATTTAACTTGCTAACTATTGAGATTGTTTTAATTTTTTTTAGATAAGCGCCATTTCCACATTTCCAATTTCGTTGATGTCCGATAACAATTTCTTATGTTCAATCTAATCCACCTGTTCCATCTCCTATTCCTTCTGTTTCCTATTGGTCTGTCGATTTTCATTCCATTGCTATTCATAGTTGAATCACTATTCTTACTACATTCCCTGGACCTCTTTTGTCATAATAGTTGTTTCCATATGGTACACCTCCAATGTTAGGTAATATAGTGTTTCCTGTATAATAATATTTACACATGTAATATCATTACACATGTATGTTGTCTTTACCAGTTTTAATTTAGTATTTTTAATTATTTCAACTTCACGTAGGGAGGTAATACTTATGAAATGCGTATAATTGAACTGTTTATCTAACTTGTATTATCCAAATAGTATATTTTTGAATTATTATATATATTTTTTAAATAATGATATTAAATATAACTAGATACCTACAGTTTACTGTTCAATGCTTATAGCCATTTTAAATACTTAAATGATACAATCGCATTTTTATTACCAGTTGCAATATCTTGGTTCACCGAGCTACTGTAACCTATATTTGAATTAGGCCATAATTTTATACTTTCTTTATCTTGTATTTCGTCGAATCCTTCTTTCCTTACCCCGTTGACTTAAGTACACCTACTTCGAATTCGATCACTGCTGCTTCGTTTAACTTCATTTGTCTTCTAGGTGTACACCTTGTCTATTAAATACAAAATGCATAATTAATGAAAACTCTCAGTAAACAAAATATATATAGAATATGTAATCAATTGTGATTTTATATTAAATAATTAAAATACTTACACCGTGTATGCTGTTAGACAAACTAAACAATTTTTATGGAAGCTCAACATTGTTTTGGCTTTATTCACAAGTGTTAACGGATGAACAGTGTTTAACTACTGTGTTCGAAGAAAGCTGTGTTATACGTTTGTATATATTATTATTATAATTTTTTTTATAACACATAAATGCAAAAGTACAGTAATATATTATATTTCATTGTGTAATGTATTATGGAAATGCACAGTAATGACACCGTTTAAATTTAGTAATTAAATTCACAACTTGTGGCACAAGTGTTATGGTGCGTTGATGTTTGGTATAAATAATAAATTTGTCTTTACTACTATTTACACAAAAAGTTCAATTACGTCTAGCATTTAATGGGTATTCCTAATTTCGGGAAAATCTTAATCGAAACCACATTTTTATTGTAATAATACCTAACCCAACTTCACGTTGTATTATTAATAAATATGTATTTAAAATGATATAATATGGTTAAATTGTTATTAAATAATTAAAAAAGAAAATATACCAAAACAGTAAATACCTAACCGTTAAGTGAACAGACCATCCAAGATTTTTTTGAGTATATTATCACTTTTCTATTTCTAAAAACTATTATCATTGCCAACAATTCAAATAACGATTTTACGAATAATACCGATTGCCTTGGTTGATTACCTGCCCACCTTTAGCATCCCTGATATTTTCAAATGTTGCGTTTTTGTTTAACGACATTGAAACCATAAGCAATATTAATACATAACAGCACAATATAAATGTACATGTACATGTTCCAAATGAGACTTTCTTATGGATAATATAAGGAATTGCGGGTCAGAAAACTTTCAGAATGGCAATTAGGTCTCTTTGGTATTTTATCCTTAAAGATTTTTTATTCCTGCATAAGCCTTAGACATATCGCCAGGATTCACATAGCCTTTTAAAAACCCAATATTTGGCATACTGTTTCATACTGAAATTACTCCAATGATATTATCTAATCAGCTACAACTAAGAAGCTTGTAGTAAGTAGTAAGAACGAATATCTAAAAGTTAACCATTTGATTTGGCATTCTAGCAGTAAATAAAAAATACTTAGTTTGTATATACAAGAAAAGATAAGACAATTAATTAAAGAAAGGTATTATAATAATTCGACCCAAAGGTAAAATCAGACTTACCTATATTATTATTGTTATTATACTTGATGTTTGGAATGTCCGACCTGTACGAACACAATCTATTTGTACCTAATATATTATTGAATCTGAATCAATATATAATGCAAAGTGTTTAGAAAAATTACTAAGTTAATAAATAAATTCTAAACTAGTGGCACAGAGTTATTGTGCACTGATGTTTAGCGAAAATAAAGATATTGTCTTTATTTTTTTTTTTTCACAAAAAATTTAATTAGGTATAAAATTAGTCAGGTAATTATTAGCGAAACTACAATTTTATTATAATATGTATATTATTGTCTTAATTTTTAATTATGTTATTTTTAGTTAATAGTTTACACAGTATGTAATAAAAAATCCTGCTATGTACTCTTCGTACTTGTGTTATCATTATAACATATTACTATGTAAAATGTAGAATCTTAAAATAAATATATAACATATAGCTAATTTGACAGCACTGAATATTTTTATAGAAAAATATTTTAAGTAAAACCAGTTGAATTTTATAATATATAATTTTCGATAAGGTTATATTTGATTGATATATTTTACTTAATTGACATTCAATTAAGTATGGTTCAAAACGGTTATATGAATGAGGATAATGAACATGTAATGTGAACAACTAAAAAATAAAAAGGTTAGAAGAAATAATTGTATGACATTTTAATACTATTAAACATTGAAATTATATTATCATCAAAACTAATACAGAATTATAATAATTTGGTTGATTTGTTGTTTTTTACATAATATTATATTTTAGACACTGAATATCTTCTATTGCTCCAAATCCGCCATACATCATCATACTTTTACTGAAAACATTTGATTGCCCGTTTTCAAACCATGTGGACCACCGATCTTCATTCCTTTATTACTCATTTCTTTACCATTGGGAACGTCGTTTTTTATTCCATCATGTCCCATTACTATTTTAGTAATTTCATTTTTTAGTCTATCTGCCACCATTCTTCCTAATGTACATCCTGGGCATTGTTGATTATTATACGCGTTTCCGTATTGATTCGTGTTAACGTTTGGGCCCTGCATTCCCATATAACTTCCTGAAAATTATTCACATTCAATTTAATATGTTATACTGTTTAATATACGCAACGTTGGGAGAAAAACCAATCAATCCAATTCCACATAGAAAGTAATTACCTACGAAATGCATTTAATTGTGTATCCAAATTTGTTTGTACAATGTACAAAATAATATTTAAAACTACTTATTATTTAATAAATTTAAAAAAAATATATATTTTAAATAATAAATCGTCGTTGCCGTGAAAAAATTCCCATGTGCTAAAACCTAATTGTTCACATTGAGACACAAACCCTGTAAAACGATTTATAGTAGGTAATACATAGGTTTTATTTTTTATTTTTCATTTATTCTACAATGGAGATAGCACATTGGAGATTTTATCATATGATAGTTTATTTTTTTCTGTTTCCAGGGATACCAACACCTGAAAATCGTAAAATATGGCACATAGGATGTTTTTTCGCGACAACGACAAAACACAATGAATTGGTAGATTTGTTAGTTGACCTGCATTATGTCTTTTAAAATTGTAAATTATACAATTTTGTATTAATTTACCTGGTGTTGTATAAGTTTGATTCTCGTCTTCGCCATCATCGGAGTCAGAAATTGGTCCTATATTAGGGTTGACAATCATTAAAAATTATAATTAAACTTTTTGACATATCAGCTAGGTATATCATTACTATGTTTTCGAATTGTCTCAAGTCATTAAGTTATTTTATGTAGTAAAAGTTATGTTGTACGAATTTATTTTACTTTCCAACAGTACGCAAAATAGTTTTTTTTTTAACAACAGCATGGAATTTTTTTTTATTTGTGTAGCAGTATCAACGTTTCCGTTCTTGGTATACACAATACACGTGTATTGTAATTCAGGTAATAAGGGCTCAAGGCAACATAATTATAGTACTACTCTACGCTATGTAGAAAACTGATACGATAAAAATATAGGAAATCAAAGCCCTAAAAATGCTACACTAAAGTGAAAAGAAAATGTAGGAAATAATGAATAAATAAACCAAGGGGAAAGCAGTAATAAGTGTATTGAAATTCAACTCACGACCTCCGTTGTTATAATTATTAAATCCAATGTTATTAGAGTTGTAATTCATTCCATTTTTTTGTGTTGGGTAATTTGGTTTTGGTGGCGTCCAAAGCGGTTGAAAGTTACCTAGAAAATGGCTTTTATATTGACAATATTGTTGTACATTTTAATAAAGATAACTATTGTCTTGAATCTTATTGTTTTCCTCTATCTCTAATATAGCTCACCACGATTCTCGAGTAAAAGCTTCACATCGAAGCAAAATATAAATACTGTGCAATTTATTCAAATGTACAACGCACATCCTATTAATACTAAACTCGACTATGTAAAATTATAATTATAATACAATTTTGTTTTAAACAAAAATGAATGAAGAAGTAATTATGATACTACACATGTTTTAATAATAACTACCGATCTTTATTCCTTTATTACTCATTTCTTTACCACTGGGAACGTCGTTTTTTATTCCATCATGTCCCATTACTATTTTAGTAATTTCATTTTTTAATCTATCTGCCACCAATCTTCCTAATGTACATCCTGGGCATTGTTGATTATTATACGTGTTTCCGTATTGATTTGTGTTAACGTTCGGGCCCCGCATTCCCATATAACTTCCTGAAAATTATTCACATTCAATTTATTATGTTATACTGTTTAATATACGCGCAACATTGGGCAAATAACAAATAGAATGTATTATTAAATTTGTTAGCTGACCTGCGCTATATGCCTTTTTAAAATTTGAAATTATACAACTTTGTATTCATTTACCACCTGGTATTGTATAACTATGATTTTCATCTTCATCTTCTTCTTCGTCTTCGTCTTCGTCATCGTCATCATCGTTGTCGTCGACATAGTCGGAGTTAGTTCCTAATTCTATAGTTCCTGTGCCTGCTATACCGTCAAATTCTTTTTTTCTTTCACCGTTGACTGTGAGAATACCTTTACCATATTTAATGACAGTTGCTTGGTTTTCTACATATCCCGGAATTTTTTTGCCGTTGATAAAGAGTTCACCATTTTGAACGTATACAGTTGCACCCTCATATGCTAGTTAAAAAAAAAATTTTTAAATATTTAATTATAAAGTTATCTTATGTAGTATAAAGGTTATGTTGTAAGAACAATTTTATTTTCTAACAGTACGCGAATAATATTTTTTTTTTTTTGACAATTGCATAGTTTTTTTTTTATATGTGTTGCAATATCACTGATACACATATGTATTATAATTCAGGTAAAATTGTTCAGAACAACATTGTCCTAGTAAAACTCTAGAGTTTAACGAAAAACGATACAGTACAAATATAAAAGACAAAAGTATTAGAAAGAAATAATGAACAAATAAACTAAGAGGCGGGCAGCAATAATTATACTCAAATTCAACTTACGGCCATAGGAAACAAAGTTTCCATTGTTATAATTATTAATACCGGTAATGAGTTGTAATTAAATCCATTATTTTGTGGTGGATAATATGGTTTTGGTGGCGCCCAGGACGGTTGATAGTTACCTAAAAAAACGGCTTGTATGTAGACAATATTATTACTATTATAACATTTAATAAAGATAACTATTATCTTAATTCTAAATTGTTTTCCTCATCTCTAATTCAAATACCGTTCAATTTATTCAAAATTAAAGCACCCATACTAATAATATTATTCTAATTGCGTCAAAAACTATAAATCATTATTTTTATAATATAATTTTGTTTTTAAAAAAAAGTTTAGAGAAGTAATGATTATAGTATTCTCGTATTAATGGTTTTAGTAACACAAATTAAAATTTTTTAATGGTGATTATGTTAATTACCACAATAATTATTATTCCTCCCATTTTTAAAAAAACAAAATAATTAATATGCTTATTTTTTTATAAAAGTTTTAAAATAATATTTTTATAATTAATAGTTATATTCTTAGGTGATAGGATATTCTATTTGATAACGAACTTAGACTAAATTATATTACTTACAATAAGTTTTAAAAAAATATATACCAAATAGTTCATACCATTGTTAAATGCACCATAATCTGCTTTTCTAAAAAAAAATTAATATTTTTAATGCGAATTAACCGAATGAAAGTGAGATGTATTTTGATTTTAATCTTTCTATACTTGCTTGGAGTATAGATAATACATGATAGACGTACACGGTGTATGTTGTACTTAGACAAACTGAAAAAAATATATAAAGACTCAACATTCTGTTGGATTTATACTTTAGCGTCAACGGAATAGTCAGTAATTTAGAACTGCATTGAAAAACGCTGTGGTTAAGTTTCTTTATTTATATAAACTCATTATTCTGTATGACAATTATTATTTAAATAATTAATTTCGCAATTCGTGGTACAAGTGTTTATTTGTACAATATAAAAATATTTTACCTTTATTACTTTTTGGTAAATTTTAAACACAGCTGGTTCAATTATGGCTAATCGTTTGTCAATTATACTATTTTATGACATTTCTATTGAGAGATAGTCATTACCATAGCTGTATTTTCATTACACCTGTAGTCTACGTTATGTACACATACAGACATATAGTACTTTTTTAGAGCTAATAGGATTTTTTTCTTTAAAAGGGTCATTTTTTCATTTGGTTATTATTAGTTTATAAAACATTAATTTGAACATATTTTGTTCAAATATTATTGGTTATGTGGCACCAATTTTTTTTGGAACTTTATACCTGATTTTCAGAATTTTTTTTGTTTACATGGTTGTTTTTTTACAGACCAAATTTATTCATGGTATTTTTTTTGTCCGTGTTTAGTTTATATTTTAGTTTTTATTATAAAGATAATTTTATGATTTCAACCGTTTCAAGACAATAAAAAGTACTCGAGTCATATTGGATGGGGGTATTAAGCTTCCATAAATAGTAAAATAGTGAAAAAAACATACAATAAAAAACCAACAAAAAACCAGTAATAAAATAGCGGTTATATCACCGGTTAATACTGTACTTGGTTTATCCTGTGCTAAATAGGGGTTTCTTAAAGAATATCTTGAAAGTAAAATTTATAAATCAAGTAAGTTGGTTTTTATTATAACGTTTTTATGAACTCACAATCTTGTTTGTCGTTCCGGGTGGAATCTTGCAACTCAAATTTCGAGCACTTCCCGAATAGCTATCCGGCTGAAACTTTCAGGGTAGCTCACAATTCGATGACAATGCATTATTAATCCACAAGAGGTTAAAAATTCCATCCCTAAAGGGGTTAAAATGGGGTCGATTTCTTGTCCGTTGTTCCGAGTAGAATCTTGCAATTTAAAAAGATTTATTTCTCATCCGCCAGCAAAAATTATGCGTAGTGCGTTTGGGCGTGAACGGTGCTCAGATATGAACGGTACCAAGATCAAACCCGTGTTCCCATCATTACACTTTTTTGCATTTTCTTACACTTTTATTCAACTTTTATGATAATTTATATAGTAATTACAACTTAATTTCAATTGTATGCTAATTTATACAGTAATAAATCTAAAATTATAAGCTTTTAAATTGATTACTAATTGATTTTTATGATAATCCTTCTGGCCATGCAGCCTTTTCTAATGTATGTCCAAAGACGTAGTAAATCAGTCCAGTCCGATTCCAAAGATGGATTTTATTATATAATATGAAAAAGAACAAAATAACTAAAGTAGATTAAACAATTAATCTAAAAAAATAACGTTTTTATGTGCCTTAAAAAGAATAAAATAACCCTCCGGAGGTCTTGATAACCAAATAGGACAGGTGAAATAGAAAAACGTGGGGCGCATCTTTACTACTTCACACGTCTGCAAATATAATAACATTCTCTTCTCATCAATAAAACTACCTTAACTCATAATTCATGCACAATCATCTTTTCTCTTCTAAATAAAACAATACTTAATGACATGTCATGTAAAATTGAGCACCACATTACTAGGCAAGTAGGTAGTTAACAAAAAAATTGAAACAACCTACATAAAAAACAAACTTTTGAGAGAATAGCAATTAATTCTTTTCAATTTGCAATGAAATTTAACGCAAGTGGCACGGAAATCCATTAAATTTCATTTCCGATAAAAAGTCATACTATCACTTTCTGATCCGTTCGGTTAGAGAGACAGCATTATGAGAGACAACTTAATGCATTACCATGAGAGCTTAGGTTTTAATATCTAAGTAGAAAGATGCGCTCCACGTTTTTCTAGTTCACCTGTCCTATTTGGTTATCAAGACCTCCGGAGGGTTATTTTATACTTTTTAAGGCGCATAAAAACGTTATTTTTTTAGATTAATTTTTTAATCTACTTTAGTTTAAATTTTTTTAGTTAAAATGTGATCATTTCCCTTTAGAGTGCCTAATAATTACAATTAAATAAGAAATCCTAACGATAACTATAAAATAATAATCAATTGTATAATATGTTTAAGTACTTAATGCGATGTAAATAACAATACTAAACATTTAATGTGAACAACAAATCAAAGGAAAGGGGTAGATGAAATAATTTTACATTATTTAAAAACTATTAAATATTAAACTGATATTGTCATCGAAATCAATACAATATAACATTGAAATTAAAAATGATTTTTTTTTTCTATGTAGGTAATATGGCTTAAAGGCGGTAAATATATTACAATACATTCTTACGCTTTGGATCTGCGGCTCGCCAATGTGTTGTTATTGAAGTTTTCATCAGCTATAATTAAAGCCTTGAATGATTATTATGATTATTTGTATTCTTGTTTGTTGTTTAGTTGAGCTCCATTTTTCTAATATAACCACCGCATTGGATTGCCCATTTTCACACCATGTGGACCACCGATTTTAATTCCACCAATACCCATTTCTATACCATTTGGACCGCCTATTTTTATTCCATCAGTTCCCATACTAATATCTCCGTTACTTATTACACCTCTCCACAGTCTTCCTAATGTACATCCTGGGCATTGTTGATCATTATACGTGTTTCCGTATTGATCCTGATTTCCCGTATAGTCTTCTGAAAAATATTAATCTGATAAATATTCTCAATTTTATATGATTTATTTCTTACTATACGCAATGGCCGGCGAGAAAATGACGAATATCCGACAGGACAATAAGCAATTAAATACACCACCTTAGAATGTGTAAAACTCAATATATTTATTCTCAATACTAGTTAAGTTAGGTTGGTAAAATTAAAACTGACCTTTAACATATCATTATATATTAAAGCTCAGTTGCAAGCAATGTTTAATGTGAAATTATTCGTTATTCAAAATCAATTTTAATCGATCAACGAACAATTTCTCTTTTTTTGTCAAAGAAAATGTAAAAATGTAGTAAATCATCATCATTACATATTATGTACATTATATGTAATGTACATAATATGTAATTGTATAATTTAAACATTTTTATATTCAATCCAATTTCACGTAGGAAGTTAATAATAATGAAATGCATTTAAATGCGTATCCAACTCTTTCTGTACAATGTACAAAATAATATTCAAAATTACTTATTATTCATTATTATTAAATTAATTAATTAATATTTTTTTTTTATAGCAAATACAACGTATTACTAGATTTGTTAGTTGTCTTGTATTAAGCCTTTTTAAAATTTGAAATTATTCAACTTTGTATTAAATTACCTGGTGTTGTATAACTTTGATCTGTCCAACTATCTTCGCCATAGTCGTTGCCAGGGTCGGGGTCATAGTCGTAGCCGGAATTGTTACCGTAGTTGTTAACGGAGCTTGTCATCGAATTTGATCCTATATTAATAGTTCCTGTGCCTGCTATTCCGTCGAATTCTTCTTTTCTTTCTCCGTTGACTGTAAGAATACCTCCACCATATTTAACGACAGCTCCTTGGTTTTCTACATATTCCGGAATTTTTTTGCCGTTGATAAAGAGTTCACCATTTTGAACTTCTACAGATGCACCCTGATATGCTAATGAAAAAAAATGTAAACATATTTAAGTGATACAATTATCTTAAATAGTAAAGGTTATGTTGTACGAATTTGTTTTACTTTTCAACAATATGCATAACAGTTGATTTAACAATTGCACAGGGTTTTTTTTTTATATGTGTTACATTATCAAAGTTTTCGTTACTGGTACATACTAGGGAGATAGGAGGCCAAAGTTCTAAAAATGCTAAATTTAAAGTGAAATCAAAATGTTTGTTAATAATAATTAAATAAACTAAGAGTAGAGCAGTAATGGGTATATTCAAATTCAGAACAATATTATCATAGTAAAACTCCAGAGTATAACGAAAAACGATACAATAAAATTATAAAAGACAAAAGTATTAGAAAGAAATAATGAATAAATAAACTAAGAGGCGAGCAGCAATAATTATACTCAAATTCAACTTACGGCCATAGGAAACAAAGTTTCCATTGTTATAATTATTAAATCCGTTGTAATTAGAATTGTAATTAAATCCATTATTTTGTGGTGGATAATATTGTTTTGGTGGCGTCCAGAGCGGCTGAAAGTTACCTAGAAAACGGCTTATATGTAGACAAAATTGTTATAAATTGTTATAAAGATAACTATTGTCTTGGTTCTAAATAGTTTTTTTTCATTTTTAATATAGTTCACCATAGTTCTCGAATCAAAGCTTCAAATTGAAGCAAAAATATAAATAAGTACCATGCAATTTATTCACCCATACAAATTATTTTAATCTTATTGCGTCAAAAACCATGCATAATTATTATTATAATATAATTTTGTTTTTTAAAAAAACAAGTTAAGAGCAGTAATGGTGACATTATATTTATTACCCCAATAATTATTATTATTCCATCCAGTGTTGACAGGTAATGGGGATGGAGGACTCCAGTATGATTGTGGATAGCCTAAAAAAACATAAAAATTACTAAAAAACAAAATAGTTAATATGTTTATTTTTTTGATAAATATTTTTTAATAATTGTCATATTTTTAGATGACATAATATCCTATTTGATGATGAACTTAGACTTAATTTTATTACTTATGTAAAAAAAATAATACCATTGTAAAATGCACCATAATCTGCTTTTCTGAGGAAAAAAAATATTAATATTTTTAAAATGTGTTAACCGAACAAAAGGAAGATGTATTTTGGTTTTAATATTTATATACTTATTTATAATATAAAGAATACTCATGACTTACACGGTGTATGTTGTACTTAGACAAACTGAAAGAAACATGTACAAGTTCAACATTCTGATGGCTTTGTACTTTAGCGTCAACGGACTAATTAGTGAATTAGAACTATATTAAAAACGATGTGATTAAGTTTCTATATATACTTTCGGGATGATATTAATTATGAAAATAATTAAACTCACAACTTGTGGCACAAGTGTTTGTGTGTATTAACTTTTATTTGTATAATAAAGAAATATATTACCTTTATTACTTTTCGGTAAACGTTTAACACAAAAAGGTTTAATTACGTCTAGTCGTTTGCCAATTATACTATTTTTCGGCATTTCTATTGAGTGAAATTCTTTACCAAAACCATATTTATAATATACACATGTTGTCTACGTCATATATATAATATATATATATGCTAATTTATTTTAAATACAAGGATTTCATTTTTCATTTGGTTATTCTTAGTGTATAAAATTGGGTTTGGAAATCTTTTGTCCAAATTCATTATGTAAAACCAATTTTTCGAAACTTTTTACTAAATTTCTAGTAGTATTAATCTAAAATTTATTTTTATATTTAACATAATTATATTTGGTTTCTTTTTAACAAAATTTGGTTTATAGTAATTTTATTGTATTCGACTGACAGGTTTGTATAGCGTTTAATAAACTATCTTTTTGCGATTTAATCTTTGTGAAGCTAAAAAAAAGTGCTCTACTCATATAGAACCCCAGGTTTTTTTGCAATACTTAGAAACTCTATATAATTTTTTTTTAGCTAAAGTGTAAGGTAACGCGAGTGGCTGAAGCTTTAAAACAAATTAAGAAGAGCAACCGAATTATATAAACGTTACTTCTGCCATGGGGATCTATACTAGGTTACTTAAAGATGGGTATGGAATCAAATTTCATACACCCATTCCAAAAAAATGTAATTATAACATACATCAATATATTTTTATAATTATTAATGATTGAGTGGTTATAAAAAAATTGTCAAATTTTGAAGAAATGTCCTAGTTTAGTAGTGTATTTATCAGCAACATAACGGCAGTTTTATATCCGTAGAATTTACTTCCAAAAGTCTGTCAGATTCATTTCTATCAGTTTACTAATTATGAGTCGGTTGATTTTTTGTATGAACTTTTGTTTAAAAACCTTGTTTAAAATAAAGGCTAATTCAAATTTCCGAAGCTTAAAAAAAAAAATGTAAGAATAACAACAGAGTTATATAAAGATTCCTTCTTGTTACTTCTAATTGATTAAAAAAAAAGTTTTGCCGAATTTTGGTTTCAATAAAATGAAAGGCGTTTTTAAATACCTTCAAAATGTTGCTATTATTAGAGCAAAATTAGAATTATGCTTATTTCTATTTTGTGTGTTTATTATTTACTACAACTAAGTTATTTACAAACACTTTGAACATTGATTAATTAAAACAATACATATTTCTTGTATAAATGATATTATGTCCGTATGAATATAACGACATCCATTAATTGTAGTCAATAATGATAGAAATTTTCATTTCTTTATTGATTTAAGATGATTTTTTCTATGGACGATTAAAGTAGAGTTTATGACTTAATACTGTGTTACGACAAGTTTAAAGTTAAATATTTTTCAAGTTATTAATTTTATGATAAAGTTCGATAAATGAAACGCGTTCGATGAATGTTCAATCGAATGCTTTTTATGTATGTAAATAATTTATGCATAACTTGCTGAACGCAAATTTAAATATTAAAATAATATATTTAAGATTATAAATGATGATGCCAGACGGTTAATGTTAACAACGAAAACATTTATAAAGGAAAGATGAAATAATTACACGACAGTTTATACTGTTAAAAATTTCATATCATTACATTTTAATTAAAATTTTATACGATATAATATATTATTTTTTTAAGTGCATTACATTAAATTTTGTTGTGTACATAAGCCTAATGAATTAAAGATATAATATATTTAATTCGTAACGGCGACTCGTTGAATTTTTGTTATTAAATCTGTCCTCCGTTATTGAATTCTTGAATGAGAATATGTTTATATATTATATGTATTTTTTTTATGACTTTTTCCATTGCAGATGTTTATTCGAATCATTTTTGGTATTTCTTGGTATTTTTTCTTAATTTTTCTAGAAAAAAAAATATTGAAACGATAATCAACTAACCATTGTGCCACAATTAGTCATTATTATTTTCTTAAACAGATTTGTTCTGGTATTTTTATTTCACGTACCTAGTATATTAATAATATATGTAAATTATAAAATAATGTAATAATATCGTTTTTTATATAATTATTATCAGCCGAACAACGCACAGAAGATTATTTAAAAAAAAAATAAAACATTTTATACTACTTGATATTTAATATTGTTAAGTACCCTATGATTTGTTTTTTTTTTATACCTTAAAATAATACATATTTGTTTTTATTTACTTTTTAAGTGTGCGTTATATTTTTTCACCCAATCATTATTTTCTTCTTCGTCGCTATCTTCTTTTTCATCGGAATCTGTACTCGAATTTTCTCCCCAAACAATACGTCCTTTTCCTTTAATTCCGTTGAATTCTTCTATTTTTTCCTCGTCGACCTTCAGCACACCTTTATCATATTTGATTACTTGTCCTTGGTTTGCTTTAACTCCAGGAACTTTTTTGCCGTTGATCGAGAGTGTATCGTCTTTAAATTGTACGTTAACGCCCGGATTTTTGGACACGACTCCTGGAATCTTTTTTTTGTTGACGGTCACACTATCATCACTAAAGTTTACGGTAATACCCTGTTTTGCTGTTGGTATTTTTGGAACCTTCTTGCCGTTGATCACTAGGCCGTCGTCATTAAAAACTATACTTGCACTCGACTGATCTATCTTTTTTTTGTTTGTCTTACGTTTATTCTTTTGGGATAGTTTGTCTAGACAAAAAAAAAAAACATATAAAGACCTTAATTATTACACTTTTATCAACCGAGTAATGCACAAAATATTATTTTTAATGAAAATATTTAAAAAAATATAATTTAAATTAGGTACTTGATAGACGGTATTGTTAAGTGCCTTATGATTTGTTTTTTTATACCTTAATATTATACATATTTGTTTTGACTTACTTATTTTTGACTCGTATCGAATTAACCAAGGATATTTTTTCTCAATGTCATCCTCATCAGACTCGTCATCATTATCAGAATCTTCAACAGAATCTGAACTCGAATTTTCTCCCCAAACAATACGTCCTTTTCCTTTTATTCCGGTGAATTCTTCTATTTTTTCCTCGTCGACCTTCAGCACACCTTTATCATATTTGATTACTTGTCCTTGGTTTGCGTTAACTCCAGGAACTTTTTTGCCGTTGATCGAGAGTGTATCGTCTTTAAATTGTACGCTAACACCCGAATTTTTGGATTTAACTCCTGGAATCTTTTTTTTGTTGACGGTGACACTATCATCCCTTAAGTTTACGGTAATACCCTGTTTTGCTGTTGATTTTATTGGAACCTTCTTGCCGTTGATCACTAGGTCGTCGTTATTTAAAACTATCTTGTTTTCGGTTTTGTTTGTTTTATGTTTATTCTTTTTTAACGGTTTCTTGTCTAGAAAAAAAAACGTATAAAGACCTTAACATCAAAAATAACACCAAACATATATTTTAAATGTACACAGGGTTATCGGTCCAACTAGGACTCAAAAGTAAAATGTCAATTTGTATACATACAAATTAATTTTCAAGAGCTGTCACAATGTTTGTTCACAGAGTAAACACACTAGTGTGAAATCCACTACATATAATTAATTTTTCACAATCTCTAAAAACACATTTGAGGTGGTTCTGTTAAACTTAAGTTAAAATAATGGCTTTTTTTCGTCGTTCAATCAAACCCTACACTTTAGACCACCACATTTAAATTACATATTTTGTCACACGTCGAAAAGACATAATATTATAAATTGGTATATAGTATAAATCAGAAAGATATTTTGTGGGCAAATCTTCATCGTGTTATTTTGTATATTAAATATAAAATGTTTTGGATGATATTTAAAAATATTTACTCCAATTATTCCACCCATTTGACGGCATCGGATACGGCGGTCTCCAGTATGATTGTGGATGCACTACGAATGAATATGTAAAAGTTAGGGTAGTATTAACATGGAAAATATATATTAGTGTCTATCGTCACATACGGCTGAAGTGAATACTTTTTATACTTTTAAGTAGCTGAAGAACATTGAAGAGTGAATTAATGAAACGTTGATCTTGTGGATATAGTAGAGAATGGGGACCGACAATTCATTTGTAAATGCATTTAAAAAAATTGTTTAAAACTTAACCGGTCACGCTAAACCGTCCAGACTCGACTGTTTAAAGTCTAATGTCGTTTAACGTTCCGGTATCGCATAAGTAGTGTTCACTTCAAGAACCCGACAAGATTATGAAGAAATAAAATCGGTAATAGGAAAGACAACGGGGACGGAAGTGCGGTAGACGAATAGTTTTCAAAAGAAACGGTTTGTGAGTGTAAAATCTGGGTAAACGATCCCAAATGTTTACGGTTGACGGTAATAGAGAAAAATAATTACAAAATTCTACTCACCGTTATTGCCATAGCCGTTGTACATATGATTAAAGCGATTATATCCGTCGCGTGGAGAGTTGAAGCGTTGGTATCCTGGCCTATTGTCGTAGTTGGACGGAAATGGCGAACCGTATGGTTGTGGATATCCTACAACATCAATATGGAAATTATTCGAATGGACAAAAAAAAAAAATTGTACCCAATAGGCTCCACATACTTGTATTGCTGTTGTATCCATATCCATACGTGTTTCCGTGTTGGCTGTCTGGCGTTTTACGCCAGTCGTATTTATTTGTCTGTGGTGCATTTTGAAAATGTCCATTTATGCCGTTGCGGTTGTGAAGAATCTCGTCAATGCATCTTTCGTTTTCGTCGCTATCTTCATTCGAGTCACTTTCATCACTTTCATCGCTTTCATCGCTTATACCTCTTCCCGTCGTTTTGGGCTTTTGGAGGTCTCTCGGAACGACTGGTTTAACATCTAAAATGTTAACAAATAATATTTATGTTTAATTAAAAAAAATACGACTTCGATAAAGACTCGCACGGTGTTTAAACTAATAATCATAAGATGGTGTCAATATTTTCAACTAATAATTTATTACCGTTTTTCAGTACACTTTGGGGAGCTGCGTTTCTGGAAAAGGACGATTTTTCGATTTAAAAAAAAAAAAAAATTAAAGTTTCATAACAGTTAATTAATGAAAAATATTTTTAATCTATACGATGACGACTGTATACGTTAAACTAGTGTATATTAACGTTTTAATACAGATATTTTGATATACTCACGCCGTGTGTGTTGCCAAACAGACTAAACAAAAAATATAAAAGCTCAACATTGTGTTAGCTTTAATTTACAGTACCAGTGGTTTACAGTGTATAAGTGTTAACGGATTAAAAGTATTACGGTTGCTGTACTGATGAAAGCTATGATCTATTTATATATAAAAAATAATAATTGAAAATGCACAATTTTCAAAACAATTATACTTTTTAATTACACCCATAATTACATTTGCAGCTTATGTCACAAGTGTTTTTATGCGTTATTGCTTTGTACAAATATTGAAATAACGTTTATTACTGATTTATAACAACAAACGGTTTAATTACACCATTGTTTGTGACTAATAATTTTAGAATTTCTATGGTATGTACTGTTAGTGAAAATCTTTATTACAACCAAATTTTTACAAATTTTTAGGTTGAGGCTCAATTCGGTGTCTCTCAATTTATATAGTTTATATATTAGTATATTTCATAGTTTGATTATACAGTTTAAAGAAATATAGAATATTGAAAATGTTTTCAATTTTATATTTTTTATTAATATTTTGCTGAATTAAATTATTTAGAAAAATATTATTAATTCTTAAGCTTTTAATTTGTTCAATTATATTGGTGTCTAAGTACCTACATTTTTTTTTCAAAGCGAAATTTCAATCCTGGCATTACAATGATTTGTTATATTTATATTATACATATATTTAGGTAAAATACACAACTTAAAATGCTTCAAAATAGTGACTCGTTATTCCATTGTTATTAAAATTTCCAATTGATTTCTGAATTGCGGTAGTTGTTGTCTATTCCTTTGTTGACCACCTTTTTTTTTAATTAGAATTTTGTACATTGTTAGCTGAATTAAACGAATTATCCTTGTTAGATGAATTTGCATTTTCAAATACATCTACTTTTTTTCCATCGACCATGTATCCATCCACTTCGTTATAGTTTGCATGAGACCCTTGAAATTGTTTGCCATGTATCACGAATCCATCATCATTAATAGCTATACCTGAACCTGTCGACGAATCATCCGATCAAAAATACAATTAATCAAAACAATAGAGAATCCATACTTCCAATGTCCGATGGATTTTTTTTGCCGATGCCCACCTTTCTGCCATCATCATATTGAGCTACATTAATGCCTGTCAACAAATCAACTGGATAAACAAATAATATCTTACAACATTTTAATAAACTACATTTTTGATCAGTAATCCGACAGTTAAGATTTTATTGTACGATTTATTACACTTTCCAACAGTATGTCTATTTTTAGTTTATAACTCTGCAACTTTTCTTTTTGATCAAGCAGTTTGTCAAAAGAGTTTTTAATTGTACATTCAAGTCAAAATAATAAAATGGTGTTCAAAGCAAAGTGATCTAGATAACATTGTCATACTCCTGGATAGAACAAATAGTTACCCAAAAGAGATTTGGAGACGGAAACAATAAAATGATATAAAAAAAATACGAGATAATAAATAAATAAATTTGGAAACTAGGATGGCTGTGTATAGAAACGGAATAAATGGAAAACCCACAGACAGATAGTTCAGAGTCTAAAACTCTGGTTAACTATCCCAAATTATTATGTTTAGCATTAAGAATGAAAATTAGTATTAAAGATAACAAAATTCGACTCGGTGCCACCGGCATAGCAATTCTGAACTTCTAACAGATGCACCCTGACATGCTAATTAAAAAAAATGTAAACATATTCAAGTGATAAAATTATCTCACATAGTAAAAGTTATGTTGTACGAATTTGTTTTACTTCTCAACAGTACGCACAATGGGTTTTTAACGATTTCATAGGGTTTTTTTTTTTTTACAATATGTGTTACATTATCTAAGTTTTCGTTACTGGTACACGCGTGTGTTGTAATTTAGGTAAGAATGGTTCAAGGCAACATAATCTTAGTAATACTCAAGAGTATAAATGGAAAACGGTACAATAAGGAGATAGGAGACGAAAGTTCTAAAAATGCTACATTTAAAGTAAAAATCAAAATGTTAATAATAATTAAATAAACCAAGACTAGAGCAGTAATAGGTATATTCAAATTTAACTCACGGCCACAGGAAGCACAGTATCCGTTGTTATAATTATCAAACAACGGATAATAAAATCCGTTGTAATTAGAGTTGTAATTAAATCCATTATTTTGTGGTGGATAATATTGTTTTGGTGGCGTCGTGAACGGCTGAAAGTTACCTAGAAAACGGCTTATATGTAGACAAAGTTGTAATCAATTGTAATAAAGATAACTATTATCTTGATTTTTAATAGTTCTCATTTCTAATATAGTTCACTATAGTTCTCGACTCAAAGCTTCAAATTGAAGCAAAAATATAAATAAGTACCATGCAATTTATTCACCCGTACAAATTATTTTCATCTTATTGCGTCAAAAACCATGCATAATTATTATTATAATATAATTTTGTTTTTTAAAAAGACAAGTTAAGAGCAGTAATGGTGAACAATAGTGACGCTAACACATTGAAACTACAACTCTTAATGGTTATATTATATTTATTACCCCAATAATAATTATTATTCCATCCAGTGTTGACAGGTAATGGGGATGGAGGACTCCAGTATGATTGTGGATAGCCTAAAAAAACATTAAAAAAACAAAATAATTAATATGTTTATATTTTTGATAAATATTTTTAAAATAGGATAAAATATCGTATTTGATAATGAACTCAGACTTAATTTTATTACTTATGTAAAAAAAAATAATACCATTGTTAAATGCACCATAATCTGCTTTTCTGAAGAAGAAAAAAATTAATATATATTTAAAATGTGTTAACCGAACAAAAGGAAGATGTATTTTGGTTTTAATATTTATATACTTATTTGTAGTATAAAGAATACTCATGACTTACACGGTGTATGTTGTACTTAGACAAACTGAAAGAAACATGTACAAGTTCAACATTCTGATGGCTTTATACTTTAGCGTCAACGGACTAATTAGTGAATTAGAACTATATTAAAAACGATGTGATTAAGTTTCTATATATACTTTCGGGATGATATTAATTATGAAAATAATTAAACTCACAACTTGTGGCACAAGTGTTTGTGTGTATTAACTTTTATTTGTATAATAAAGAAATATATTACCTTTATTACTTTTCGGTATACGTTGAACACAAAAAGGTTTAATTAGGTCTAGTCGTTTGCCAATTATACTATTTTTCGGCATTTTTATTGAGTGGAATTCTTTACCAAAACCATATTTATAATACACATGTTGTCTACGTCATAAATATATACTAATTTGTTTTAAATACAAGGATTTAATTTTTCATTTGGTTATTCTTAGTGTATAAAATTGGGTTTAGAAATCTTTTGTCCAAATTCATTATGTAAAACCAATTTTCCGAAACATTTTACTAAATTTTTAGTAGTATTAATCTAACATTATTTTTATGTTTAACATATTTTACAAAATTTGGTTTATAGTAATTTTATTGTCTTTGACTGACAGGTTTGTATAGTGTTTAATAAATTATCTTTTTTGCTGTTTAATCTTTGTGAACCTAATAAAAAGTGCTCTACTTAGATAGTACCCCAGGTTTATAGACGTTTTTATATTTATATTTATTTCATTTTGTTCGGTGAAATAGCGAAAAAAAAAAGAAAAGTTTTGCATATATTTTATTATGTATTTTAAGTGAAATGATAAAATGCGTTCGTATCTAATTTCTGTAAAATATTTATTTCATGTGTTTGAAAGAACAGTAAATAAGATTTAAAGTATTGGCGTGGATATATTTTGTTAAATATATTAAAAGAAGTATGGGCACGATGTGTTGCTCTACTTAAATCTTAAGTTAGACAATTATTATAGAAAATTTAACTTATTAAATTGAGCTCACTAACTTACCACTTAAAAGTATTATGGAACATTTTTTACGGTTAATTATATTGGTTAAATTATAATTCATTAATTAAAAATTAGTAGGTATTGAGAATTTTTGAATAACCAAAAAAAAAAACATTATGTTTATTTAACATTTTGAAATATCTTCACATTGTTGCCATAAATCATAAGGGAAGATGGGGTAGAATCGATGATTACGGGGCGAATTTAAATAATGCTAATCAAATTGTTTTCACTGCGATGAAAATATCGAGAAAAAAAATGTAATAACCACAATGTTTAATGTATTGTGTTTTGCTATCAGCGGATTCTGACTGATAATGTGATAAACAGCCTTCAATATCCAAATTTATAATAGCAGTTAATTCACTTTTCGGGTTTTTTTATTATAAAAAAAAGCTTAAACTACAGATTTTTTTTACACGTGTTATAGATTAAAAATTTCGCCTTAAAAAAAATGTATTTCCTGATTTTGGGAGTGAAGGAGTTGACTAATAAAGGTGCTACACGAGTAAATCGGTCCACAGGAATAAAAGTTATTGTGTCTGCGGACACAGACATAATAAAGTATAAAACCAACAGCTTCATGCTATCGTATCGAGCCAAAAATAGTTTTATACAAAATAAATAAAGTTTATTTATTGTACATATTTTAATAAGATACATCTGTCCCATTTAGTTTCAAATGTACCCAATAGATGGAGTAGATTTAACTAAAAACAGATAGAAACATGTCTAATTATTGTTTTATAAAAAGTTCGACTATATGCGACTGTTGAGGGTTGGAAAACCGGCTAGTTTTTTTGGAGGTTTTTCCAGTTTCGGGGGGGGGGGGGGAGGATTTGACTTTTCTACTTTTGACACACCAAAGTACCATCTGTGTACGATCTCGGATCTTAAAATGGCGCTACATGATCAAATCGGTCGAAAGGAAAAAGTATTATCTGGTCTACACATACAAAAAAGGTATATTTAAAAATTGATAGATTGTAAATTACTTGATTGGTGAGGTTGAGAATAGTGTTTTAATGTGTACAAACTTTTAAACTACAGGTTGGAACTCTCAAAATGGAAATTTGCCTTAAAAAAAAAAATATGAAAAATAATATTATAATTTTCATTCAAATTTTCCCCATATGTAGATTTTTTTTGTTGTTTATTTGCTAATGATAAAGTTTTCACATACACTTTTGGTGTATGTATTCTACTTATTTATAATTCAGTATCATATATTTTATTTTGATTTATACATCATATTGATGTATAAATCAAAACAAATGTTGTCAGGTTTTCTAAATAGTGCCATTGATCGATTCGATTGCACTGATAATTGCAATTTTAGAATATTTTTATATTGATTTAGAGGGAGTTTATGTCAGAAGCCACAATTGTCTAACCAAATGAATTATTCTGTACATTGTATTTTATAGAGCTGTAATTTGTTTAAGAATATGATCATTTTTCACTTATAAGTAAATAGTAATAATTAATAAGTACTAACTATTATAACAACCAGAGTTATAATATTTACCAAAGGTGATTTATTACTTTGAAACGGGCTTTTAAACCTTTTTAAGTTATGATACTAGACTTTGAATGTCAAAAAAGTAACGATGAGTAATTAATGAGTTTTTATTATATTTGAAAATGGAACATTATAATTATATTTTCGTCGTAATTCATTTGAAATAATATATTCTTATGTTGCATTATACTGATTTGTTATAATACATGTATGTAGGTAAAATACACAACGTAAAATGCTTCAAAATAGTGACTCGTTATTCCATTGTTATTAAAATTTCCAATTGATTTTTGAATTGCGGTGGTTTTGGTCTATTCCACCTTTTTTATTTAGTATTTTGTATATTGTTTGCTGGATTAAACGAATTATCCTTGTTAGATGAATTTGCATTTTCAAATACATCTACTTTTTTTCCATCGACCATGTATCCATCCACATCATTATAGTTTACAGATGATCCTTGAAATGTTTTGCCATGTATCATTACTACACCATTTTTAATAGCTATACCTGAACCTGTCGACAAATCATCCGATCAAAAATATAATAAATCTAAACAATAGAGAATCTATACTTCCAATGTCCGATGGATTTTTTTTGCCGATGCCCACCACTCTGCCATCATCATATAGAGCTACATTGATGCCTGTCGACAAATCAACTGGATAAACAAATAATATCTTACAACATTTTAATAAACTATAATATTGTTGATTAGTAATCCAACAATCTAACAGATAATTACCCAAAAAAGATCTGAAAACGGAACCCATAAAACTATACAAAAAAAAAACGAGACAATAAATAAATAAATTTGGAAACTAGGATGGCTGTGGATAGAAAGAGAGACAGATGGAAAACCCACAAACAGATACTTAAGATTCTAAAACTCTGGTAAATTATCCCAAATTATTATAAAAATTCGACTCGGTACCATCGGCATAGCAATTATGATTTATATTCACTAATCTTTTGTATGTAATTCAATTTTTATATTATTACTGCGATAGTGGCTATGGTATTGGCGGAGTCCAAATAGGTTAAGAGTTATTTATAATATGCTTTTAAATATGTTAACCGTTTTGTTTTTACAAAAACAACAATAATCAATTTTCTAAATGTTTTTTTATTTTTAATTAATCTCACTATGATTCTCACATTGAAGCTAAAAAAAATTGGTTTTGTTTTAATTACCTGATTTTTTCCCGTTATCGTTAATATGAGCTGCATTTAATGGATTTCCTAGTGAATCTAGTGGAATTTTTTTGCCATCAACCGTAAGTCCGTCATTATTAAATGTTATTTTTGGATTAAACAAAAAACCTGAAAAAAATATAACAAAATATTTGTGATATATTATGATCTTGTACAATTTATTTTATTTTTCAACTGTTTTTTTTAAATCAGGTAGCCTGCCAAAAAATCTTAAGCAGTGCAGATAATGACAAAATAGAGAAATAGGAGAGGAATATCCTAAAAGTCCTATATTTTATTACTAACAAAAAGAATGGCAGCGTTAAGAGTAACAAAATTCAACACGCGGCTATTAAAATAGCCAAAGTAAAAAGAGTTTAAGGTAACATTGTCATACTCTATCATAGAATGAATAAGAGCAAAATAGAGGAACAAGAAATAAAAATCCTTATTCCCTCAATTAAAGAAAAAAAATAATTATGTAAATAATAAATAATTATAGATGAATAGTAGGGATAAGAATAACAAAATTTAATCGTAGATCCATAACAAAGCTAAAAAAATATTTTTGTTTTTAATTACCAGATGTTTTCCTACTACCATCAATATCAGCTGCATTTAATGGCTTTCTTACTACATTTATTGGAATTTTTTTGCCGTTAAATGTGAGTCCAAAAGTTATGTTTGGATTCAACGAAGAACCATCTGTAAACAAAAATATCGAACCCTAATATTTTGACATATTATGACCTTGTACAATGCATTTTACGTTTTAACATGTTTTTATCGAGCCGCTAATAAAAAAATCTTAAATAGTACGGATACTGACAAAATTGAGGTATAGGAGACGGAATTCCTATAATTCCCTTACTTTAAGGGAAAAGATTATTATAATTTTTAATGTAGAAAAACAATATTGTGTTTCGTTTAATTTTTTTTCGTCACAAACAAATCCTACTCTCCTAACTACGGTTGTATCTATTACCCCAGTAGTTATTGCTGTCGCTACTGCTAGAAGATGGTGATGGTGGAGACGATGTTGACCCGTATAATGGCGAATTCCCTACAATAACAAAAAAAAAAATGATTTAAACAGACAAAGCAAAATTATAACAATCTTCACATACTCCTATTGGCGTTGAGGTTGTTCCTACGACTGTTTCGGCGTTTTCGTATGGTGTTACTGTTGGACGCTCTATTGTTTTGTTGTGGAACAGTTTGAAAATTCTGAAAACGTAGATAATGTAGATCTTCTCATCGTTCTCGTCGTATTTTTCACATAAGTCACTTACACCTGTCGCCGAATTATCATACCGCTTCACGGTCGTTCCCAAAGCTCTGGCTGTAGTCTGCATGTTTCCAAGGTCGTTATTCATTTTTAAATCGCCAACTACGTCGTTCTTACCAGCCACGTTTTTGGTATTTTGAATCCCACTCGGCCTGACTGGCTTAGCGTCTGAAGTGTTAAAAAATTACTTTTAAATTTAAAGGGAAAAAAAAACAATAATATTCCATTTTCCATAATATAGTCTTAGGTAGAACATCTTTTTAATGTACTAGTTTTTGACTGAACCTAAATATTCTTTCGCGTTTAACTATTACCATTTCCGAGTACAGTATGTTCTGCGTTGCTGAAAATAAAACAAAACTATTTATAGCAATTTATTTTTACCACAGAAACCATGCAAAAATTAAAACTATTGTCAATTGTAATATTCTACCTATTTAATAATATGTTGTTTAGTATACTCACGCCGCATACGTCGCTAGATAAATTGAAAAAAATATAAAAAACCTCAACATCTTGTTAGTTTTTTTAGTGTAATCGAATTAACAGTAGTCGAGAACCTTATTGGAGAACGCTGTGATTATATTTCCATATATATGCACAATGTTTAGAATAATTAGTTTGCAAATAGTTTAATTCACAAATTACGGTACAAGTGTTTTTTATTAATTGATGTTTTGTTTAAATTAGTATTTTATTTTATTTTCGAAAACACAAAAGGTTTAATTATTACTTCTCACCGTTAGTAATATTCTATAATGTATCAAAACCATATTTCTGTTATTAGGCGTATTGTATATTTTTTTCATACCCAACAGACTTTCAAAAAAAAAATCGGTCGTGTTTTGAGTTGATTTTTTTTAGTGTACAATGTAATATTATGTTGACGAAAAACATGCTAGGCACTCTTTATAATTATGTACTTATGTACTATACTGTTTGGAGTACTTTTGAAATTTGGTTTTTCTGATAGAAAATTTAAAATAGGGTCCCAGAAAATAAATTTTAATTTTAAGTCATTTGTAATATCTCATTTAAGTTTAGGACGTTTTAGCGATTTTTAACTGAATAATTGTAAAAAAAACCCATCAAAGAGGACTAAATAAAATTTGTTTTGAATAAATGCTTTTAACAATGCATTTTATAAAAGGGTAATTTCTTTGAGAATGTGATCAATTTTTATTTTTTACTTACTAGTAATAATTAGACAATAGATATATTAACCAGAGTTATTGCTGCTCGATGATTATTAATTACTTTAAAGTTCGCTGTATGTTTAGAAGTAACATCTATAAACTTGTTATTAGAATATTAAATTTTAAATAAATAAAAGAAAGACAATAAATGTATAAATTTTAGAACTAATTGAAATTTTGATGTCATAATTATATTTTCGTCTTTTTTTTGTTTAATTATTGCAGTTTTATTTTGTATTACTTTGGTTTGTTATTATGCGTATAAATAAAAAAAATTAAGATATAATATTTCTTTCTACCTCAAAACTTCAAATTGTTATGGTGTTATTTTAAAAACCACCAATTAATTATTGAATTACTGTTGTTTTCACCTTGATTACCTACTATATCTCGTGTAATCTCTCAGTATCTTCTAACAGCTTGTTTTGCCATTACATTTTCAGATCCAACATTTTGTTTTCTATCAATGTAATTTTACAATTTTTAAATAAATCGACCTTACGTCGATTTAATATAATTATTTTATCTGATATAATACTAAATATTAACAATTATGAAATGAGGTAGATATGAATTTCATTCATAAATTACTTAGTTTCTAAGTGTTATGTAAATTTCAGGTTAAAAAACAGTTTTAGTTAAGAACTAAAACTAAATTAATGTCATGATAAAAATTGCTTACATTTTAAGAACCTAAACACCTGAATAAATGTTTTATAACATATTTTAAAGTTCTATATTTCCTTTAAATAAAAAAAAATAGTTTTATATAAATAAATAAATATTATTGTACATATTTAAATATCTTAATAAAGTCTGTCCTCTTTAGATTCAAAAAATACTCATAGTATAGGTAGATTTATATAAAAATAACGATTTATCTAAAAATGATAAATTATATAGTTATTGACTGGTTAGTTTAGGAATGGTGTTATAATGTGCACAAACTTTACACTTCAGATCAAAACTCTCAAAATTAAAATTTGCCATATAATAAAATGATGAAAAATAATATTAATTTCACTCAAATCCCTATACATTGATTTTTGTTTTTTTATTTTACTACTAAGTTTTTACATATACTTTTGGTGTTATGCAGTGTTTTTTTTATTAATATTATTATGCATTCTATTTATTTATTCATGAATATCATAAATTTAGTTTTGATTTATACATCGAAATCCAAACAAATACTGTTTTATTTTGCATATCGAGCTGTGATTTTTTTTTTAAACACGATCATTTTTTTCTTATAAATAAATAATAAGAATATGTAATAGATATTATAATAATTTGAGTTAAAATTGAACAAAATGTGTTTTATTCGGTACTTTGTAATTGGCTTAGAAGTACCATTTAAAGTTCTGATACTAGATTTTTAATAGTAAAAAAGTAACGATAAAATACTTGGGTTTTTAATATAATTGAAAATAGAATATTATAGTTGTATTTGTATAGTAATTAATTTAAAATAATATGTTTTTATATTGTAATACATTGATTTATTTTACATATATGTAGGAATAATGCACAACTAAAGTCTAAAAATGCTTTAAAATATCAACTCGTTATTCCATTTGTATTAATTTCCAAATTAATTTTTGAATTGTAGTGGTTTTTGTTTTTTTCTTCGTTGACCACCATTTCTTGATTTAGCATTTTCAATAATGTTAGCTGAATTAAACGAATTTTCCTTGTTAGATGAATTTACATTTCCTTCTTCATCTGCTGAAACTTTTTTTCCATTGATCGGGTATCCATCCACACCATTATTTGTTACAGATATTCCTTGTGTACTTGCTGAATCTACTGGATATTTTTTTCCGTTATCCACGACTTCATCATCAGTAGTTACTACATTTGAACCTGTCAACAAATCAACATAATATAAATATGCTATCTATAAAAAATTAAAATCTACTTTATCTCAGAATTATTTATCCATGAATGGTTTCTTGTACCATTTATTTTACTTTTCAACAGTATGTATAATAGCGTTTTTAGTATATAATTAAGAGAATTTCTTTTATTCAAACAGCATGACAAAAGAGTTTTTAACTGTATATTGAAATCATATGTAATTGAGTTCGAAGAAAAAATGTTCCAGACTACATGGTTATTTTCCAGAATAGAACAGTTAACTATAATATATATATTTTTTAATTACCTGATATGTTCCCACTACCGTCTATATTAGCTGCATTTAATGGATTTCCTAGTTTATCTAATGGAATTCTTTTGCCGTCAATCGTGAGTCCATCAATATTATTATAATTTATATTTGGATTCATCGAAAACCCAACTGAAAAAAATATAACATAATATTTTTGATAAGTATGATCTTGTACGAATTGTTTTATTTCCAAACTGTTTTTTTTTATTTTAATCAAGCAGCAAACCGATACAATTTTATAAAATGTTACGCATGATAATTTAATTGAGGGGTAGGAGACGAATAACTTAAAAGTGGTGAAACTATATATATATATATATATACATATTATATTCGCATCGAAGCGATCACCTTTAATTTATTTATTCTTCTTAAACCACTATGGTAATTTATAACTGAGTTTGGTTTATACTGAACTAGAATGGACTGCATTGTCAAAAATTGTGATTGCTTTGAACTGTGCTGGTTTAAACTATACTCGATTTGTGCTATACTGATTTTTTGTTTTTAATTACCTGATGTTTTCCCACTACCATCAATATCATTTAAAGGCTTTCTTACTACATCTATTGGAATTTTTTTGCCGTTAAAGGTCAATCCATCATTACTGTAAATTATGTTTGGACTCAACAAATTATCAACTGTAAAAAAAATGGAATGTTAGGGTTGTAATTCGAAATTGGAAAATTGAAGAATTTAGTTCCTGGCCTATCGTTATTGTTAGGTCTTAATAGCGGATTGTGTAATTAGGAATATCCTAAAATAATACAGAATTATTCATATGAATATGAGAGAAATGTAAGAAGAGTCTAAGGTAACATTGTCATACTCCAGAGTAGAACATATAATCAGCTAAAAGAGAGCAGGACTCAGAAGATGCAAGTCCTGATAAGAAAGGAAAAGAAGGTTGTAAGATTATACCAAAATAAATGACAATGAAGACTATTAGGTAAATTATAAACCCATAAAACATAGCTCGGATGTGAAAAACTATCAAACATTTTTCTAATTATCATTGAGGATGAATATTTATAATGGAAAATAACAAAATTTAACACACTACAATCGGCATATAAATTATGATTCATATTAACTAATTATGTGTGTGGAATGCACGTCGAAATTGGTTGCAAGTTATCTAGAATATAGTATATATCTTGACATTATTATTATTTTAAAGACAACAATTATACATTTTCTAAATTTATTTTTAATTTTTAATAAATCTCACTATGATTCTTCAATCACAGATCCACGTCTTAGCTAAGATCATATTTTTTTGTTTTTAATTACCTGATGTACTCTCATTGTTTTGTTGACCACCTTCTTTTGATTTGGAATTTTGTATATTGTTAGCTGAATTAAACGAATTTTCCTTGTTAGATGAATTAACATTTCCTTCTACATCGGCTGGAACTTTTTTCCCATTGATTGTGTATCCATCCGCACCATGATTGATTACAGATATTCCTTGTGTACTTGCTGAATCTACTGGATATTTTTTGCCGTTAATCACGACCTCATCATCAGTAACAACTATATTTGAACCTGTCGACAAATCAACATAATAATAATATGCTATCTATAAAAAATTTAAATCAACTACATCTTTGAATTATTAATTCATGATTCGTTTCTTGTGCGATTTATTTTACTTTCCAGCAACATATATAATAGAATTTTAAATATCTAATTAAGAGAATTTGTTTTATACAAGCAGCATGACAAAAGAATTTTTAACTGTATATTGAAATCATATGTAATGGAGTTCGAGGAAAAAGTATTCTGGACTACATGTTCATTTTCCATAATAAAACAAATAATTACTTAAAAGATATCAGGAGACAAAAGTACTGATAAGAAGGAAAAAAAAGGTTGTAAGAAAATACAAAAATAAATAGGGCAATGAAGCTAAATGATAAGCCCATAAAAAGATAGCTCGGATGTGAGTAACTCGAGTAAGCTATTCCAAATTGTTATTATTACTATTGAAAATGAATATTTATAATGGAAAATAACAAAACTTACCGCCATTACTATAGCCTATGTTTTCATCGTTATTGTTGAACGGAATGTTAGGGTTGTAATTGGATCCATTAATCTGTGGTGTTGGTGGTGGATATGGTATTTGCGGTGACATGAATGGGTTAAAGTTATCTAAAAAAAGGTTAATATGTTGACAAAAATGAATATTCTAAAATATTAATAGACATTTATTTATCTGAATACGAGTTTAATTAGGAAGTGTAGAAGGTAACATTGTCATACTCAGGAATAGAACGAATATACACAATAATTTATCTCATTTAAAAACAAGTGGTTATTATGGAAATAATGAATAAATTATTAGTAGGGAACATTAAAAATAACAAAATTCAACTTACTGCCATTACTAAAGCCAAAGTTTTCATTTTTATTGTTATTAAATCTGTTGAATGGAATGTTAGGGTTGTAATTGGATCCATTAATCTGTGGTGTTGGTGGTGGATATGGTATTTGCGGCGACATGAATGGGTTAAAGTTATCTAAAAAAAGGTTAATATGTTGACAAAATTGAATGTTCTAAAATATTAATAGAAATTTATCTATCTGAATATGAGTTTAAGTAAGAAGTGTAGAAGGTAACATTGTCATACTCCGGAATAGAACGAATATACACAATACTCTGTCTCATTTAAACACAAGTGGTTATTATGGAAATAATGAATAAATTATTAGTAGGGAACATTAAAAATAACAAAATTCAACTTACTGCCATTACTAAAGCCAAAGTTTTCATTTTTATTGTTATTAAATCTGTTGAATGGAATGTTAGGGTTGTAATTGGATCCATTAATCTGTGGTGTTGGTGGTGGATATGGTATTTGTGGCGTATTGAATGGGTTAAAGTTATCTAAAAACTGATTGTATGTAGACACAATTTTTATAGCTTATAAAAAAGAAAACTATAATTGATTTTTTAATTTGGTCTTCATATCCCATGTAAATTCTTCAAATCGGATGAACCTATTACCTATGTTTATATTAAATTATATTACCCCAATAATTCTTCCATTCACTGCTGAAAGGAGATGGCGGTAATTGTTGCGGAGACGCCATTACAGGTTGAAAGTTTGCTGGAAAATGATGTATGTATTTAATATGTAACCAATTTTTTTTATACTAGTATAGTATAATTTTTAATGTAGAAAAACAATATTGTGTTTAGTCTAATTTTTTTTTTCATCACAAACAAATCCTACTCTTCTAACGACGGTTGTATCTATTACCCCAGTTGTTATTCCTGTCGGTACTGGTAGGTGATGGTAGCGACGATGGTGACCCGTATGATTGCGAATGCCCTACAAATAAATAAATATATAATTTAAACAGACAAAGTAAACGTATAACAATCTTCCCATCGTCACATACTCTTATTGTTGTTGCGGTTGTTTCTACTTCTTTTTCGGTGTTGTGGTATGATGTTGTTGCTGTTGGACGGTTTATTGTTTTGTTGTGGAATAGGTAAAAAAGGTAGGGAATTCTGAAAATGTACATAATGTAGAACTTTTCATCGTTTTCGTCACGTTTTTTACTTAAGTCACTTACACCTGTCGCTGGATTTGGATACCGGTTCACAGTCGTTCCCATACCTCTGACTGCAGTCTGCATGTTTCCAAGGTTTTTGTTCATTTTCAAATCGCCAAATACGTCGTTCTTACCAACCGTGTTTTGGGTGTTTTGAAGCCCACTGGACATAACTGGTTGAGCGTCTAAAACGTTTGAAAAAAAAAAAACACTTAAATTTGAAAAAATAGTATCGTTTATATTTCGGTTTCTATAATATTGTCTTGGATGGTAGACCATTTTTATGATATGATAGATTATGACTAAAACTAAATATATAACTAGTCTTCCGGGTAATAACTATTACCATTAAGGAGTACACTCTTTTCTGCGTTTCTGAAAATAAAACAAAATTATTTATTAAAATGTATTTTTAACACAGAAACCACGCGAAAAATAAAACTATTAGCAACTGTAATTTTCTATCTATTTAATAATATGTTGTTTGGTATACTCACACCGCATACGTCGCTAGGTAAATTGAAAAAAAAATTAAATACTTCAACATGGTGTTAGCTTTTTTGTCAGTGTTAACGGATTAATTGTAGTCGAGAACCTTATTGCAGACCGCTGTGGTTAAATTTCTATATATATATATATATATATACAATGTTCAGAATAATTAGTTTTTAAAATTATTAAATTCACAAACTATGGTGCAAGTGTTTTCTTTAATTGATGCTTTGTTTAAATGAACATTTTATTCTATTTTCGGAAACACAAAAGGTTTAATTATTACACCTAATCGTTAGTAATATTGTATAATTTATCAAAACCATAATTTTGTTAATTGGTAGGTATATTGTATTTTTTCCATACCTAACAGACTTGCAAAAAAAAATCGGTCGTGTTTTGAATTGATTTTTTTTTGTTGAGTTTTTTTAGTGTACAATATAATATTATGTTGACGAAAAAAATGCTTGACACTCTTTTTATTTATGTACTTGTATACTGTTTTGAGCACTTGTGAAATTTGGTTTTTTTTTTAGTAATAACTATGTTATAAGGACCCAAAAAATACATTTTAATTTCTGGTCATCTGTAAAATCTCATTAAATTTGTTGATGTTTTAGCGTTTTTATAACTGAAGGTTTGTAAATAGAAATCGTTACCGTAGGCTTTAAAAAAATATATTTTAAAATTATCAGGCTATTCAAGGCGGACTAAATCAAAAAATATTTGATAAAATGATTTAATCAATGCATTTTATTAAAGGGTTATATCTTTGAGTATGTGATCAATTTTTACTTACAATTAATAATAATTATGCAACAAATATATTAACTAGAGTTATTAATGCTCAGCGGTTCTTCATTACTTTAAATTTTGTAACATCTATATACTTGTTATTAGAATATTAAATTAAAAAAAAAAAAAGATCCATAATTGTTTGACTTCTAGAATTGATTGAAATTTAAATATAATAATTATATTTTCATCGTAGTTTTTTTAATTAATACAATTAGATTTTGTATTAGTTTGATTTGTTATTATGCGTATAATAAAATAATAAAATTCTTTAATATCTTAAAGATTAATAGGTATAATATTTTCTTTAGCTCCAAAACTTCTAATCGTCATAGTGTCTTTATTAAAATCGCCAATTAATTATTGAATTGCTGTTGTTTTCGTCTATTTCTGTGTTGACCGCCTTTTCTTGATTTGGAGTTTTGCACATTGTTAACTGAATTCAACGAATTGTCGTTGTTAAATGCATTTACGTTTCCAACATTACTCATACTCTGTACCCCATCACCTTTGGGATAAACATGGATAAAACTTTTATCAATAAAACGTTACAAGAATGTATTTGAAATCCTAAAAAATTAATTTTAACCATTTTTTTGTACTATTTTTTACTTATTTGTTTCTATCATAGAAATTATCTTCTACTCAACTACTGATATTGAGTTATTATTTATGTACAATAACAGACCTCTGAGAAGAGTTCTAAAAATTAATTTACTATAATATTCTTGTAAATGTGCTTTGATAATTTATTTATAAAACACTTATGATCGATTTCCAAATTATTTATTTTTTTGTATTTTATTTACCTGTTGTAGACTTACCAGCATCAAGAAGAGCTGGATTTAATCTATATCCCAAAACTTTTCTTCCTTTTCCTTTTATACCTTTGAATCCTTCTTTTCTTTCGCCGTTGACTGTAATTCCATCTTCGTCATAATCGATTACAACTCTGTCGTATCCATTTACTCCGGGAACTTTTTTACCGTTGACCAGGAGTCCATCGTCAGTTCTTTTCACGATTATGCCTTTATTTCTAATTACATTTTCTGGGGCGTTTTCTTTGTCAGTATTTAGTTCACCCTTCTGAAAATCCGGTTTTAATCCTTGATTATCCACTACATCGCCTGTAACTTCTTGGCCATTGATTTTGATTCCATCGCCAGTCATGTCTACATTAACAGCTTGATTTTCCATTAAATTTTCTGGAACTTTCTCGCCGTTAACCTTGTTATGATTATCATAAGTGTCTACAGTTTGACCTTTTTTTCCTTGGTCTTCGACAGGATGATATTCGTTATTTAATCCAGTTAGTTGCACTAGAAAATTGTAATATATAATTTATTTAAATAATTTGAAGAGGTGAGATCCAAAATCATTAAGTTGAAAAAACAGAAATTGAACTTTTATACGCCCTTGTAAAATTTCAAATGCATAATAAATAATTCTATTCAATACATTTCTTAAAAATTATTAAAAATGACACAACATAAGTGGCATATTAAGTGCATAATCAAAATATGATTTTATCAATGGTAGCTTTATGCTTTGGTTATCCCTATGATCTTAAATAGTGTGATCAAATAAAATGTAAAGTACTTTTAAAGGGTGAAAGCTTTTTTTACACATTAAAATAATAATTATTTGTTTTGAGATTATCTGGTTTTAAATTTGGCATATAAAATATCTTGTTAATTTAAGTATCTGTTTTTTTTTTACTACCGTCAACATCATCTGGATTTAAAGGATTTTCTACTACATCTACTGGAATTTTTTTTCCGTTTACGGTAAATTGACCATCCTCTTCATTAAATTTTACAGATGCTCCTTTTATACTTCCAATATCGATTGGAATTTTTTTACCGTTGATGATAACCCCACCATCATATAAAGATATATTTGGACCTGTTGACAAATCGACTGTAAGATTATACATAAAAATATAGGGAAATAAAGAAATACATGTGGAAACAAGGATGAACAACTGTGGACAGTTAGGGAGGTAGATGGAAAACATATACATAGGTAGTTCTGATTATAAAACTCGGGTAAGCTATTTGAAATTGTAATGTTTAGCATTGAAAAATAAATAAAAGTGATTAATAACAACAAAATTCAAACTCACTGCCATCGGCATAGCAATTATTAATCAAATTTACTAATCCTTTGTATGGGATGCAATTATATTGTTGCTGCGGTGGTGGATATAGTGTTGTCGGCGTCGAAATTGGTTGCAAGTTATCTAGAAAATAGATTATATGTTGACAATACTGTTATTATAAAGACAACAATTATCAATTTTCTAAAATGTTTTTTCACTTTTAATAAATCTCACTGTAATTCTCAAATCACAGATCCACATCGTAGCTAAAGTCATATTTTGATGTTTTTAATTACCAGATGTTTTCCCACTGCCATCAATATCAGCTGCATTTAATGGATTTCCTACTGCATCAAATTGAATTTTTTTTCCGTTAACCGTAAGTCCATCCTTATCATTAAAGTTTATAGATATTTCCTGAGTACTGGCTGTATCTATTGGAATTTGTTTGCCGTTTATCACGAGTCCATTATGATTAAAAGTTATATTTAGACCATTAGACAAATCAACTATAAATAAAATAGAACATAATCTTTTTGGCAAACGATCTTGTAAAAATGTATTTTACTTTCAAACTCTTTATTTAATCAAGCAGCGAATCAAAAAATCTTAAATAGTACGAGGAATGAAAAAATAGAGGTATAGGTATGAGACGAAATTCCAAAAATCCAAAAATTGTTAAAAATAACAAAATTCAACTTACTGCCATTACTAAAGCCAAAGTTTTCATTTTTATTGTCATTAAATCCGTTGAATGGAATGTTAGGGTAGTAATTGGATCCATTAATCCAATTAGGTGTTGGTGGTGGATATGGTATTGGTGGCGTCATGAATGGGTTAAAGTTATCTAAAAAAGGTTAATGTGTAGAAAATACAGTTTTTAATAAAGAAAACTATTATCGAGTTTTTAATTTTTATCTTACTATATTGTTATACTAAAATAATACCATTTTGAATATTAAAAAAACAGTAACGTTTCTCATCTAAATTGTTTTTTTCGTTTCGAACAAATAACAAGAATATATAAAATAGTACAGATAACAATAAAGTAGTAGGATAGGAGACAAATATCTTAAAAGTCCTGCAAGCAAAGAAAATATTAAATAAGAGAAATAATGAATAATTATAAACAAAGGAAGGGCAGCGTTAAGAATAATAAATTCATGTTTGTGTATATTCTAAAATATTAATATAAATTTGTTCATCTGAATTTGAATTTAAGTGAGAATTTTCCAAGGTAACATTGTCATACTCCAGAATAGAACGAATATACACAATAAATTGTCTCATTTAAAAAGAAGTGATTATTGTGGAAATAATGAATAATTATAAATGATTAGTAGGGTAACGTTAAAAAAAGCAAAACTCAACTTACTGTTATTACTAAAACCAAAGTTTTCATTGTTATAGTTATTAAATCCGTTGAATGGATTGTAAGGGTTGTCATTGGATCCAATCTGTGGTGTTGGTGGTGGATATGGTATTGGTGGCGTCATGAATGGGTTAAAGTTATCTAAAAAAGGTTAATATGTAGAAAATTACAGTTCTTAGTAAAGAAAACTATTATCGAGTTTTTAATTTTTATCTTACTATATTTTTATACTAGAATTAGTATGTTAACGTTAGGAATAACAAAATTCTACTTACTGCCATTACTATAGCCAAAGTTTTCATTTTTATAGTTATTAAATCCGTTGAATGGAACGTTAGTATTGTAATTCGATCCATACATCTGTGGCGTTGGTGGTGGATATGGTATTTGTGGCGTCATGAATGGGTTAAAGTTATCTAAAAAAGGCATATTCGTAGACAATTTTGTTATAGCTTATTTAAAAAAAAAAAAGGTTTTTACTATGTAATTTGTTCAAATTGGATGTACCTATTACCGATGAATATATTATTAAATTATATACCCCAATAATTATTCCATTCACTGCTGAAAGAAGATGGCGGTGACGCCCACGTACGTGGTGCCACTACAGGTTGAAATTTTGTTAGAAAATGATTTATATGTAACCTATCTTTTCAATATAGAAAAACTGCATGTGTTTCGCCTAATTTTTGTTCTAGTCGATTCGAACAAATCTTACTCTACTAACGACGGTTGTATCTATTACCCCAGTTATTGAAGGGTGATGGTAATGGTGGAGACGATGGTGACCAGTATGATTGCGAATACCCTGCAAACATAAATATAAATTATTTAAGCAAACGAAGAAATTTATAACAATCTTCACATACTCCTATTGTTGTTGCGGTTGTTTCTATGTCTGTTTCGTCGTTTTGGCATGGTGTTGCTGTTGGACGCTCTATTGTTTTGTTGTGGAATAGTTTGAAAATTCTGAAAATATACATAATGTAGAACTTTTCATCGTTTGTTTGCTTAAGTCACTTACATCTGTCGGCATATGTTCATATCGGGCCGTGGTCGTTCCCATACCTCTGACTGTAGTCTGTATGTTTCCAAGGCTGTTGTTCATTTTAAAATCGCCAACTACGTTATTCTTACCGACCGTGTTTTGGGCCATTTGAAGCCCACTCGGCATGACCGGTTTAGCGTCTAAAATGTTAAAATTTACACATAAATTAAAGGGAAAAACCATTAATATTCCAGTTTCCATAATATAGTCTAAGGTAGAACATTTTTTAATATAATAGTTTATGACAAAAGTTAAATAGTATTTCACGTATTAACTATTACCATTTTCGAGTACACTGTGTTCTGCGTTCCTGAAAATAAAACAAAATTATTTTTAACAATTTATTTTTCAGACAAGCCATACGAAAAATAAAGCTATTTACAATTTGTAATTTTCTATCTATTTAATAATTTTTTAATTAATATACTCACGCCACATACGTCGCTAGATAAATTGAAAGAAATATAAAAAACCTCAACATCTTGTTAGTTTTTTTAGTGTAATCGAATTAACAGTAGTCGAGAACCTTATTGGAGAACGCTGTGATTATATTTCCATATATATGCACAATGTTTAGAATAATTAGTTTGCAAATAATTTATTTCACAACTTGTGGTGCAAGTGTTTTTGTCATTGATGTTTTGTTGAAATTTATATTTTATTACTTTTTGCGTTATCACAATAGGTTTAACTATTGCATCTAGTTAGAGACCATATTTCTTTTAGTAGGCATATTGTTTTTTTTTTCATGCTAAAAGACTTGTTAAAAAAACGGCCATGTGTTTTAAATTTATTTTTTAATTGAGGTTGTTTTTAGAGTACAATATTAACAAAAAGCATGCTATACACACTTGTACTTTTTATAACATACCTATTACATTTATTTTATGATGAAAATCAAGTAAAACTTGTACACTACCCAAAATTCGTTTAGTTAAACGGAAATCTGGGCTATTTTATGGGTTTTAATTAAGTCATTGTTGTAAACTAAAATTGGTGTTTCGGGAAGTAAATTTCATGTAACGTCCCTAAAGAATGTCAGAATATCTGTAAAATCTCATTCAAGGGTATGACGTTTTAGCGTTTTTGTAACCGTATACTAAATTTGAAGAAAAAAATCCAAAACTGTAGTGCGCTACAAACACTTTTATAGGGAAAACAATTTTTTTAATTATAAAATAGTTTTAGCTAATAGAAAAATAATAGTAATAAAAATCCAGAAAAATATGACACGCCATAATGAGGTCGTCATAGTTTGTAAGATTGTACATGTTTGTAAGAACTACTTAAACCGAGAGTGATAGAATTAGTCTAAAAAACGCCTCAAAATGATGATTCACGCGAAGCAACATTGATATTTATTACGGCCAAAGTGTACATTTTTTGTTTTTCTTAATAAAAACGCATTTTAATATATACAGATTTTTGAGAAAATCGTTTATGTTGTAGGCTCATTCTATATCTATCTTTAGGCTAATTTTCAGACCTTAAACTTCATTTAAAAAGTTTCCATCCTTTTTGGGGGAGAGAGTTCTTGATGTTTTTTTGGTTTTCATTCCATACAAATTTTAAACTAATAATTCGATTTTTTTTAAAAAAATCTATATTGCGCTACAATTTAATTTGTTTAAATATGTACAATTTTTTGGAGTATTTCTCGATTTTGAAGGGGAAGGGGCGAACCTTTTTGAATTTTTAACTCAAGATAATAATTTTCGTATGGAAAAATACAAATATACATTGTCATCAACGGACAAATAACAAATATCCGATATATTTTGTACTAGAGGTATTTTATAACACTTAACACATACTTAGTATTATATTGTATTACTATAATACATACTTTTTATAGTGCATGACGAACTCATCAGAATTAACCCCGATAAAACGTTAAACTGTTAAACCACAGTTGGTGTAATTATTACACACAGCCAATGGAATGTAAATTATTCTTTCTGATAAGTTTGATAAAAAAAATTCGAAAAATTCGATTGTCTATCATGGATAATGGACAGAAAAAATTCTTACGGTAAATAGACCTTTAAAGGAATCGAAACGACAAACCGAGCAGTAAAATTATAATTTTAATTCATTTTTTTTTTGTTGAATTCAAAACTGGTCTTGGAAATAAAAAAAATATGAGAAAAGTCTGACTTTTTTAAGTTTTTGGAAAGGATTTTAAAAAAAAGCAGTGTGCCACATTTAGGATCAGCAGGAAAATTCAAACAAACCGTCGTGTTTCTGTTAAAAAATCGTAGACTTACTACACTAATAGTGTAAGTAAAAAAATATAAATAAAAATACAATAATGAAGAAGAATTTTTGTAATGATTAAGTTTACATAGTTTTAATTTTTTTTTTGAAGATTCAACGTATACAGTTTTAAGACATTTTAAAATACATTTTCTTTTTAATTATAATATATTTTAAGCAGCAAGTATTTAATCATTATATTTTATAGATACGAAATTAAAGACTTGTGTTGAATTTTGTTTATCTTCAGTCAGATCATTTGTTTCCTCAATTTTTCCATCTTAGGACGAGTCTGTAGCAGCAACAACAACTATAATTTGACTAAATGTCAAATTAAAAAATAAATACTATTATTATATACTATTTCATTGAAATTTAAGTGCTCTTAAACAAAAAATAAATAGATTTTTTGTAGGCTGTAATTACGGCCATGGCTTACAAGTAAAACACTTAAAGCAATTTTCGGTGTATGAGCCTAATTTGAGCCTATTGAAAAAAATATTTACCTCAATTTGTGAATTTGTTGTTATTATTTCAATTTACATTATTAGAGTTTTTTTATACAAATTAACATTTCCTACCTATATTATTCCCACTTAACACCAAACCGCCTTTTTTTTCTTTTGCGAGTTTTTATTAAGATAAAAATGTAAAAACTGTAATCATTGAAACGTTACCCGAATATTTATAGAAGGACTAGAAAAAAGCTTTCATTATAGTATTTTTAAATAGTCCAATATTTCATTTCATTATTTATTTAACTCATATTTTTCGAGTAGAAAAATAAAAAAGTTGTTTTATGTGTTTCACCTGTAAGCCAACCGTATATTTTTTGAGTGTTTTATGAGCGCCACAATCAATAAAACCACTTGAACACAATTTTCATAATAATCTATTGTAAATGTAAAAATATTGCTAGACGTTTTTAACTGGTCCAATGTATTAATTGTTTAGACCTTAAAGTACTACAACTTTTTTTTTTCTCACCTGCTTTCCAGTATTGACTTGACTCACCCCGTCAACATTAGTTTGATTTAATTTTGATCCCAACAGGGTTCTTCCTTTTCCTTTTATGTCTTGGAATCCTTCTTTTTTTTCACCGTTCACAACGACTCCTCCGTCTTGGTTCCAATCGATCTCTATGCTGTCATATGCATTGACCCCAGGTACTTTCCTACCGTTGATCATGAGACCGTCGGCAGTTCTGTCTATGCTTATATCTTGATTTCTAAATACATGGCCTGGAATTATTTTGCCGTCGATCGTAAGTCCACCGCCGTTGTAGTGTTTTTCATCGCTGGTTATGTCTACATTAACATTTTGATTTCCTCCGTCGTCGGTAAATTCTACACCTAAACCATTTTCTTCCACTTCTGAAACATTATGACCTCCAATCTTGGCTTTCTTGTTTCCCCTACGTTTGTTGTTGTATCCGTTGTCAAACGAATTGATGTTTCCATACGGATCCATAACGTTGTCGTAATTCATCATGTCACCATTGTAGAATGGCTGAGGTGGCATTGTAAATGGTCTTCCGCGGTTTTGATATCTATACCGGTAGTTGTATCCTTGTGGACTGTTATCTGAAAAAAAAAACGAAACATGAGTGTTGTATTTCATTTTCTATTTTTTTCAGTTTAAAACCAACGCTTCCTGTTATTCACATACACATTGGCTGATCGTAGCCGCCAACTCCGTATGCATTCCAATTGTCGTATCCCCAGTTTGGCAAGCCCCAACCCGGGTAAACATTCGGTCTATTCTTCTGGTAATACAGTTTTCCCTTTCTCGCAGGCCAGATATCTTCTTCGCTTTCTTCACTTGATTGGTCGGTGATACTCGATTCGTTCTCAACGCTTTCATGGTCGTCCTAAAATTATGCGAATTTACGGTTAATCCTGGTCCCCGGGACTAGGTACTGTGAAACTACTTGCTTGTTCGGTTTGTTTTAGCTTTTCGACCCCACTCGGGGTGGTCACTGGGACATTCTCTGAAATGTCTATAATAGAAAAAAAAGTAAATTTTTAGGCGTCTATGTTAAAGACATTCAATTTTTTTTTAGTATTTAGTCACTCTCTTATAATAGTAAATATTTTTTTATCTCCTTCGTCGACTGGATCCCACATCATATTTGCATACACTAGCAGACCCCATATCATTTCCAATCGCACCCATCCACCTTTTTTTTGGTCTTCCTATTTCCCTCTTTTTTTCCAACTTTTATTATTATTACGATTCTTCTCTCTCTCTTCAAAACATGCCCAAATCACCACCTCAAATCTATTTCCTCTGATTTTTATCGAAGTCACGTCTAAGCTATCTCTTACATTAGTTATTTTATTTGTTCCTTATCTTGTATTCTATCGTCAATTCACTCATCTTGCATCCATCTAAACATTATCATCGCCACTACACTCCAAACCATACAACATTGTTGGTCTTACAACACTAATGTAGAACTAACCTCCAATAATACTTATATTATTAATACTTAAAAACTCAATCTCGCCTACTACGTCATTACTCGTTTTATTCTATCAATTTTGTCCTATTTCATTAAACAGATACACTAAATAATAATTTTAATTTATTTTAAATATTTATTTTTAATTACCTTTTTTGTCAGGTTCATTATTGTCAGCACACCTGTTAAGAAAATGTTCATTATTGAATACAAACCAATTCTAGACTTTATTAAACTTTTCAAAATTATGCTGAAATTCAAATAGAAAAAAAAATACTTACGCTGCAAACACTACTAGACTAAGCAAAACAAAAGTTGTAATATTTATCATATTATCAGTTGTATATTATATGATGTTTTACACCTATCCAACTACTGAAATGTACTGCCTAATTCGACTGTCTGATAAAAATATTTAATATTCTCAGCCTTTATAGAAAAAAATGCAATTATTATTATTATTCCGATAATTGTGAAATACAAGTGTTAGCATAAAAAAAAATAGGTATTTACTATTATTTTATATTCAAGACAATATAATAATACAGTCTGGTAGTTTTATGGGCAATTTTTTCCACATTATTGTCTATTGTTATCAGACAATTGGTGCAGTGTGAAATTATCATAATAGCTCTAACGGGGGTTAGAAACGTTATTATTTTTAATGTTATAAAAATGTATTATATATTGAATATATAATATGTGCTAATTTCAGAACGATTTTGGCTTTTTTAGTATTTAGGGCATGTTCAACTTTTACCAAACAAAGGGTAGGTTGTGAGAGTCAGTTCACTATAAAACACTGGCTTCACCTGAAGTTACCCGTTACATTATGTTTAACTTAGATGAATATTTAAATTCCTGCCCAAAGGATTTTATATAATAATAGTTTGGCAAATTGTTTAATAAAAGTTTCAGCATTGATTAATCAAAAAAAACATACGGACAGAGGTTCAACTTCATTTTTGAAATAATAAAAAAAAATATATTTACATTAATGAAAGCACTATGAAAATATTTTGAATATTAAGTATTTACATTTTTATTCACCGGTCATGTCTACGTCAAGCCTTAGGTTTCCTATTTCATATTGTATGTGAAGCTTATTTACCCTCAAAATTAAATTTATCACTGGTCATTTCAATATCATCACACCGATCATCTAACTCCTGAGAATTAATTTCCTCCAGTTGTATGCTTCTTGTAAGTTGAGCCATGTTTTAGCTTCGATGCAGAGCGGCGAAGGTATTGGTTTTACTCTGATGTGGGTTTTTTTTTTATAGTATACACTTTACCTTTTTAATACTAAAAGCGTAATTTGTAAGTGATTTTATTTACTTTTATTTATAATAATTCCTGTAGATCTGTGACCTCTCCGTCGCCTTGTTGCTGTGATTTCATTATGCCTATATTTTACTGTACTAGGCCTCTCGGATAAAATCACTTTCAAATTACGCTTTTATGCTTTTATTTTGTAATTTTATCGGTCACACTGGTCTTGGTTTGGACTGTACTGGGTTAAAAATACTAACTACTGACTTGCATCGAAGCGTTTCTTCGAGAGTGATTTTATTTATTTATTAAATTAATTGATTTAACATAATTAATACACAGAAACTCTAGGCTTGTGTAATATTTCAAACAGTACTCGAATAAAAAAAAATACATTACGCGCTACATGACTGGAACAAAAAAAAAACTAATACTTAACATGTTTACCAGAGTTTCATAATTTATTATATCATACGTACATATTTAACTAGTATAATATATTATTAAATTGACTACATTAACATGTTTAGTGTTTACGGTTAGGTTAGGTACAGTATTTAATATGTTCATTTATTTTCATCTTATTTTAGTTTACAATTTTTTAAATAAGGTTCATTCAAATTGTATCTCTTATTGTAGAATTATGGCTTCACGAACGTTCATTTGAATTTATATTTTTTTGGTTGTTTGAATTAACGTTTCCGAAATTACTCTTCCTTATCACCCAATTACCTAGATAAAAAAACAAAAATATAATTAAGGTGATGGCACACTAATTTTATCAATTTTCTTTAACAGTTTCCCTCTAGTTTAATATATCCAATTCTAAAAATAAGCTGCTAAAATTACATAATAATTATGTACTTAATGACATTACAATATATAAATATTATAATGTCATAATGTGCGCATATAATATTATCCAAATAGCGATGTTCAAGAGATGATTTTTAATTATATTTAAAAAAGACTGTAGAGAGGAATAGGGAAGATCACAGGTCTAAAGGAACTACATTACTATTATAATAAATAACTGATAAAATCAGTTCCACATCGAAGCTAACAAACAAAATTATAACGTATAAATATGTAAATGTATATTATGCAATATACATATGTGTGTACCTATACGACTGATATAAGTATACCGCACCAAGCAATTTTTAGATATTGTGCGGTTTAAATTCATACATCACAAATTAATCAGTGGCAAAATACGTCAGACAGGGGGTATTTTTTGTCACAATTAACAAAGATGTAAACCACCCCAATATTTTCTAAATGACTCCTCTTACTTCTTGGCCGTTAATCTTAAATCCATCGCCGGTCATGTCAACGTTAAGACGTTGATTTCCAACATCATATTCTGGAGCTCTCTTGCCGTTGACCAAAGTGCCATCGTCGGTAAATTCTACACCTAACCCCTGTTTTCCCACTCCTGAATAATCTTGACCTCCAATCGTGGCTTTGTTGTTGTATCCGTTGTTATACGAATTGATGTTTCCATACTGATCCATAACGTTGCCGTAATTCATCCTATTACTATTGTAAACTGGCTGAGGTGGCATTGTAAACGGTCTTCCGCGGTTTTGATATCTATACTGGTAGTTGTATCCTTGTGGATTGTTATCTGAAAAAAACGTAACACGAGTGTTGTATTCGGTTTTAAAATTTTAAGTGTCCATATTTGACCTACACGTAGGCACGGGCGGTGGTCGTTGTGCATATCCTATCAAATTAAACATTTTTTGACTTGGAAATTCGGCAATGATTTAATGAAGTAAACGCCCACTTACTATTGTTGCTGTAGCTGTATGCATTTCTATTGTCATATCCTCTGTTTGCCTGAATCCCTCTCGGGGTGATCACTGCCATATCGTCTGAAATGTCAATAATTCATCTCAAAAATGTTTAAAAGTGGTATAGCCAAACATTGTCTATTTACTCACATTTTAGATATCAGAGATTGCTCTTACAATAATAAATATTAATTTAATTTAAATGGTTTTTTTATTACCTTTTTCGTCGGGTTCATTATTGTCAACAGACCTGTAAAGTAATCGTTCATCTTTGAGTTTAAAATTAATACAAAAAATGTATAGACTTGATTAAAATTTTCAAAAATGTGTAGAAATAGAAATAGTAAAAAAAAAAAATACTTACGCCGCAAACACTACCAGACTAAGCACGACAAGAGTTTTAATATGAATCATATTTCCAGTTGTGTATTCAGTACTCATATTCTATTACGGAAATATACTGCTTAATTCGGCTGTAAAATAAAATATTCAATATTCCCAGTAGGTATTTATACTAAAACATATATCGTTGTCTACAATTATTAGTATTATTCCAACAATTTTGTGGAATACAAGTGTTAGCATTGAACAAAAAAGGTATTATACAAAATATGTATTATTAGTTTGTGTTAAAGACAATATCATACTAAAGTTCTGGTTCTTTTATGAGCAACTTTTATTGTCTATTGAAATTAGATAATTGTTGCAATGTGCAATTATTATAATAACTCAGACTGGGATTAGAAACGTTATTAATTGTAACGTTATAAAAAAAAAATTATACAATTTTGTTGGCGGCTTATGGTTTTTACTAATAATATACTCATAATAGTTGGTTTGATATTATTTACTATAATAAACTTGTCGGGCGACATCGATAGATGACTTCCCTCCTCCGCCATTCACGTCGTGTATATAACTTCATTAAATTTACTTACTCCATAAAATGTGTATAAGTTATAAATAAAATTTAGCAAAAATAAATATATTGCATTATCGTTTTCAAGAACTTTTCTTAACCTTTTTGTTGTAAAACGTTACAAAAATATGTATATTGTTTCAAATATTTCTTTACCATTTTTTATAACAACTTTAGGCAATCGTGTTTTCGTGTTTTAAAATCAAATTAACTGAAATTACACAAAATTCTGATTTTCATTTGAGTTTAACGTCCTATAAGTATAAATCAGTTTTACTTTGTTATCGGTGTAAACGTGTATAACAAGTCATTTATTTTAACATGGTTGTGTATGGAATTTCGAAGCTACGGTAACAAAAACAACTTCGTTGTTTAAATAATGTGTCTTTTGAATTTTGAAATTTACAACTAGGCCTAGGAATTAGGATTAGTTAGACTATTGTATTTTACATCGTAGTGTTTAGGTGAATATATACTATTCAATTAGACTATTTTAAAATAGTAGTACTTTTAGTAATGAAGCGAAAAACTTGAATAGTGTTTTTATCACATTAATAAAAATGTATGATGTACAAATAGATTCAAGTTGATTTGCTTACCAAAATATAATAACATGAAATACAGTAATTAATATTTTCTTTTATTGTTATCTTATTTTATTGGAATACAATACGTTTTATTTATTAATTTATATATTTTGAATTTTTATCTCTAATGTAGATTTGTTGCTTTCTGTATTTGAATTTACATTTGTCGGAGCTTAAATTGTCTTCGTTTTTTTTTTGCTAAATTTTACATATTCATTATTACTTATCACCCAATAACCTAGACAAAAAAAGAAAAAATACAATTAAAGCGATGTCACACTAATTTAGTAAGTGTCTAGTAGCACACTCATATCATCTAAAATTACATATATATTATAATGGCATTATTTATTTAAATATTTTTATGCAAAGTTTAAGAGAAGATTTAAACTTAAGTTTTAAAAATCCAGTAAAGTTGGGAGAAGGAGGTCATAGGTCTAAAGGAAGTAATATAACTAATAAAGCACTTTAGTAGGTGGAATACATAGATAATAGAATACATTAGAAATCGAAATACTAAGATACTTAAATGGCCCACAAGTTTAAAAATTCACCTCTTCTTTTAAACAATTTATAAAATCACCTAAAAAATTTACGTATTTTTCAACTTAAAATTACAGTACACAATAACTTATAAAAATAGTCAATTTCGTTCCACATTTGTATGATAATAATAATATTATAATAGCGCCTTTCCCTAAAAGGTGTGAAAATGTTTTCATTGTTTTACTTTTTGAGTGTAGTCTTGGTGCTTAAGTTCAAAAATGTTTAAAAACGTGTACTCTCTTTAGTTTTATCAAGAAAAAACTAAAAAAAAAATGGAAAAAGTACACTTGACCATATTAATTTTCATAATCCAAATTTACATAATAATAATACTACTAGATACTTTAAACTGTTCAATAATCTATTATTATATTCAATCACCTGTAACGATTGTATCGCCAAAATAATCTACTTTCCGTTTGTTTTATATGATCTTCTTTTTTTTTTCATTTTGGTTTACAGTGGAATAATCGCTGTCACTATCTTCTTCGCTTGCTTCAGTTATATTGTACAATTCATATTCCGTATATAGTCCTAAGCTTGAGTCGAATTGTTGTCCAAAACCGGTTGGTGTAATAATTTTTCTTTGATACGTTTTATTGGGCTCTTGAGAATCCTCTCTTTGGTTTGGAATTATCGTGTAAAAATCGTCTTCACTATCTACATCATCATCTAACTCATGCTTCGTATTTTTTATTAAACTAGAATCGAATTCTCGTCCGTCACCTGTTGCTGTATGGTTTATTCCTGGTACTGTTTTACTGGGCTCTTGAGACCCACGTCGATCGTCTGGTACACCGCCTATAATGACGTGCAAAAATTAATTAAACATTTGTTCAATAAGAATTAACGTTTTATCTAGTTTCCAAAATCGGTATCTAACATCTACCAATGTTTTTAGAGTCCCATTCACATACATAAACTAAAACAAGTATTATCTATAAACACTAATTTACTGGAACTCCCAAAAGATTGCCACCAAACTCCTGGACACCTATCTCCTCCCGCTTTATATGTATCTTTTCCGATTGCTTGTCGGATTTTTTCTTTGTCGTTAGGCAAATTTTTTTCTTCAGTATTATCACAACATGTTATGTATTTACCTAAACTATGTGTTAAAATCAAGAGAAGCGTCTAAAATATGTACGTATTTTTCAACATAAAAATTACAGTACGCTATTACTTTTATAAAATTAGTAAAATTATTTCCAAAAATGTATGAATATAATATATTAAGAGCGCTTTTCCTTAAGAGGGAAAGAAAATTGGTATTTATCTTACTTTTTGAGCGTAGTTTTAGAGCTTAAGGTATTAGAGTGTCTAATCTTTTTGTTTATTAAGGAACAACTTAAAAAAATAATAAGGTACACATGGCCATATTAAATTTCTTAATTCAATTTAAATTTACCTCATACAAATATTACTAGTTACTTTTAAATTTATTATTTCAACTTGATATTATATTTAATCACCTGTAACGGTTGGATCATCAAAATGGTGTGAATATCCACTAGTACTATCTGTTTGTTTTCTGTCATCCTCTCTTTGACTTGGAGTTATAGTAAAATAACCGCTGTTTTTACCAATATCAGTTATATCATCCAATTCATATTTCATATTTTTTCTTGAAATTGAATGGAATTCTCGTCCGTCATCTTTTTTTGTAAGGTTTATTCCAAGTTCTGTTTTAATGGGCTCTTGAGACCCACATCGGTTATCTAGTTCATCGTCTATATCACCACAAACGCACTTACGTAGTCCATTTATAATCCAAGATTTTCCTAAATAAAAATATAGAAACAATGATCAATAAAATGTTATTCGTTAACCGTTCCTACTGTGTAATGTCCGAACACTGCACAATATACATCAAACGTTTGAGTGTTAAAATCATTATTATGTAATATTATGCATTTAAAAATGTCCATCTTTAATTGTGTTTTTTCCAGTTGTAGTTATGGTGTTTCTTTTGTCGTTAAACGAATTGTCTGCTTCAATACAATCACAACGAAGGCATTTGCCTAAAATTTGTAAAATCTGACGTTTTTCTAGATAAAAATATAAAAACAATAGTCAAGGAAACATTAGCCGTTACACATCTCTTCAGTGTAACGTAAGTCCATTGTATCCACAAATTTGAAGTAAATTTTTGTTTATAATATGCATTTAAATGACACAGCGACCATAACAATGATACCAAGAAAATACATTATAAAAACGAAAAACTCTAAAAGTTTTACAACGGCAATAAACCGACATGATCATATTATACCCAAGAATCCCAACAAAGCGTATTAGAATATAATCAGTTTTGTATTTTCAAATAAATATACGTCCAATATTGAGTGTGATATTTGATAATCATAATATGTAACTTCTGCGACTAATTTAATATCACACATTAAAAAAGTCACAAGAACTATTTTGAGCGAACAGATCTAATCATAAAGTCGAATGGAATATTCGTATAAAAAATATTTTAAATAAAAAATTATAAAACAAATCTACATTGACGGACGGTTTTTTACTCAAAAGTACTTTTTATTTAAAATTATAGTGCTGTGTAGCCGCGTTTTCACATAAACTTACTACTTTATTTCGACAAACCAATATAGTCGTGATTAAAAACAATTATTTATAAAAAAAAAAATTGATTGTTTATCGGTAATTATAAAAAAAAACGTTGACAACATTAATTAATTATATTTGTACTGTGCATAGGCGCGGTCAGTCAAACATTGGCGTTACAGTATTTCTACTGTTTTTAGTGTGATATTATTTATACACTTACGATAGTAAAAACCTATTTAAATGCTTTTTTGGTTACCTTTTTTATTATCATCATTATTGCGAGCACACCTAAATAGTAAAAGTTTAACTATAAGTGTACAATTTGTATACAATTCGCTGGATTTAATAAATAATTCGTACACATTTGACCGATAAATAAATAGTAAATATACTTACGTGACGTACGCTGCTAGGATAATCAAAAGAAAAAATTTAGTAGTTAACATATCACCAGCTATATAGTTTCAACTACTAGTAAAAATCGAAATCGCTAACATTGAAATATTCTTTTTTTTTTTTTCAGTGCTTTTTTGGCAAGACAAAATTCAATTATTATGTCTACCATTCATTATTAATGTGTTTTAAAGTTAGTTTGCGCGCATTTAGTACGTGTTATTTTTTGGTTGGCAAATACTAATAGAAACATTCGCAGTATTTTACTACGTTCATTATGTCACGTTACAATTACCTTATGAAAGGCTTCAAAATAATCGTTTTACCAAATTTATTTATTTTATTTTAATCCAATGCAATTCCACGTAGCTTTTTTATTCATGTTGCTTAGGTATAGCTAAAATATTATTATTATTTATTCGATTTCTGAACATTGATCGTCTTCAACAAAAATGTATTGAAACAATTCGGTTTTATGTGTTCCGAAAAAGAGTTTAAATAGTAGAATAATTACATTTATAAAAAGTTTTAGTTTTTGCTCAAAGTACAAAAATAAATGGGAAAAAAAAATGAATTTTAGACCATTTGTTCTTTGCTAGAAAATAAAACGTGAATTTTGCACAACATTTTTATCGGACAGATTTTTTTTTTTATAATCAACAATACATTAAAATGCAGTATTAATTATATTTTTCTCTAAAAAAATTCTTTTTAAGTCGCCGTGACCTAATTGGTCATTTTAAATAATTGCAGAAATGGTTCTGATGTTAAAAATACATAATTAAAATTTTAAAAAAATTATTCGAATGATGAAAACATCATATTACATTATTTCAGAAAAAACTGCATTTTAGATGTGAATTTGGCACGGAATATTATTCAGGCTAATTAATTTTCATTAATTACTCGTTTATTTGTAAAACAATTATTTTGTCAAATATTTAAAAAAAATTTTAATTATAATAAGTAAAAAAAAAAAAAATTATCGTTTACGTTAGCAGGCTGAGCAAAAGAAAAATTTTAAGATACTTCGATTGTCCGAACTAACCGAGACCAGGTTTGGATAATCGATAGTTGGGGTAATAGAAACTTTTTTTCAACTTAAAAGTATAACTAGAAAAAAAACAAAGAAGAAATTGTGCATAATTTTTGTTTATATTTTTAATAGTTTTTAATACAATATTCCAACTGTCAAATTGTAATATAACATATTCATAAAAGTATATAATAATTATAATACACACATTAAAAGTTTATGCTATAATTATAATATTATATATTTATTAAAATATTAAAATAATATATTTTTTTTAGTCGGCTAGGTATGTTAAAATATTCTGTATTGTCTGTAATGAGAAGAAAAATCTGAATTGTGTTGTCTATAAATTAATAATAAAAATGTGTGTTGTACAAATGGTTTCAAGGTTTATTTTTATCTTTTTTTCGTGGGATACAATAATAAGTTTACATTTTTTTAAAATGTAGATATTTTTAATGTTTATCTCTCATTGTAGATTCATTGCTTGATGAACGGTTATTTGAATTTACGTTCGTTTTATCGTTGTCGAAGCTTTTCGAAAAACCGGCTTCGTTTGTTTTGTCAGATTTAACTTTTCCAATATCACTCCTTTTCGCGTCCAAATTACCTAGACAAAAACATAATTATAATTAAAGCGGTGTCACACTAGTTTATTCCATTTTCCTTAATATTTGTCCTGAACACTCATGTCGGCTAAAATAACACAACCATGGCACACGCGTCACGGGTAAAAAAAGATCAATGTCAATTTTTTTGTAAAGTTGAGATACTATTTTATTTTTCACTTTTTGTATAAGTCAAATGTTTTTTTTTCTTTTACTCAAATACATTTAGTTTGCCGACAACATATGTGTTTTCCTCGCTCAAACCTTTGCTAAAATGTCATTTTGTAAGTTAGAAAATTTCAAAAAATTGAAATTGGTCTTTTTTCCCATTGACCCTTCATATATATATATATATATATATCGAATATAAACTGTTTATCGAAATTATTATCTACACACTGTGGCAAAGCAACCTAGATATTTACTACAGGCAAAGTGTATTATTTATATTTTCTTGTTTGATATTTTCCTTAATCAAAAAAAAGTTGGCTACAAAATATTCAGAAAATAATATATGATGTGTTGCATTTTAATTTAATTAAAAGACCTATTGGGTATGTAAGATTATATATTTGGCTTAAAAACCAATGACATGAATAAATCGAAAACTCTTCCGCATGATTATAATATGACTGTTGTGGTATATGTAAACCGCTAAGCATTTTTCAGCATTTTTGCTATACAAATTTCACAAAAAACAAAAAAATATGTGGCAGATGTTAATTTTTTGATGATATTACCTAACTGAAAGCTTATACATTTGAAATCTTAAGTCTAGTTTACTAAAATCGCCTAAAAAAAAGTACATATTTTTAAACTAAAAAATAAAGGTACGCTCCAACTTTTATAAAAATAGTCAAATTAGATTCAAATTTCTACGAATAAAATAAATCAAAAGTGCGTTTTCTTTAAAAGTTATGGAAATTCTTTTAGTGTAGTCTATACTGTACGTGCTTAAGGTATAAAAAAATTACTCTTATTATATTTTATCACCTCTATCTGTTGATTCATCAAAATGATGTGGAATAATTGTATAATATTCATCACTACTTTCTGTTTGTTTTATTTGATCTTTTCCTTTTTTTTTATTTGGGATTATCGTGTAACATTCGTCCTCAGAACTTCCTTCGCTTTCCTCAGTTATATTATGCAATGCATATTCCACACTTATCCTTGAACTCGAACCGAAACCTCGTCCGGAACTGGTTGCTGTAAGGTATTTTCCTAGTTCTTCGATTTCTTGGCTAGATTCATTTTTTTGGCTGGAACTGGATGATGAATTAATTTTTTTTCGTTCTGTTTTACTGTACTTTTGAGATCTACGTGGGTTGTCTAGTTTACTGCCTGTAATGTGTAAACATTTTATCTAGTTTGAAAACTCGTTATTCAAAAACCACAACTCTGTTTTTAGAGCTTCATATAAATCAATACATACATAAATTGTAAACACTTATTTACTGGAAATTTCAAAACATCCTTACCGATCGCAATTCTTGAACACAAAGACACATCTTCTTCATTAATTTCACAACACTTCATTAATTTACCTAAGTTCCTTAAAGATCCCTGTTTCTCTAGATAAAAATATAGTAATCAATAAAACAATTTTCGTTCTACTCGCATTCCGCGTAATGCCCGCATAGAGTATTAATCGTTAAAAAATTATTTGTCGGTGTACTCCAGTCAAATAAGGATTTAAAGTAAAAAAAAAAAATATTTTTCATTCTATGATTTTTTATGGAATACACCAATGTATTAAAAAAAATTCACTGATTATTGAGTATAATATTTTACAACATAAATATGTATACAACACATTTAATACTAAAAACATTATTACACACATTACAAATGTACTAAAGCTATTATAAAAAAATGTAAATAACTTAAAGACGATTGTAATATTAGTGTAGTAAAGATTTAAAATATATCTTAAATATGAAGTTATGAAACAAATCTACTTTACCGGATACCTTTTTTTAATTTTTTTTTTTTAAACGACAGTATTTTTTAGACAAGAGTATGCTACGTAGCCGCGTTTTTACATTAACTGATAAATTTTAGATTTGCCAATAAAATGTATGCTTAAAAACAATTATTTATAAATAATTTTGATTGTTAATTAGTGACAAAAACTACCGAATTAAAATGTTGGCAAATTTAATTTATTATCTTTGTACTAGGTGGTCAGTCAAACATTTACGTTACAGTATTTCTACTGCTGCTTCGAGTATTTTGTCACCTATGATAATACAGATAATTTAAATGCTGTTTAGTTACCTTTTTTCTTATCATTATCGCGAGTACACCTAAAAAGTAAAAGTAAGTAAAATATGTACAAAAAATCACTTTCGAAATAAATTTAAATTTTACCAAGAAATAGATAGTAAAAATACTTACGTGGCATACACTGCTAGGGTAAGCAAAAGACAAGTTTTTATGGTTAACATGTCACCAGTGTTGTGTTCTTTCAACTACCAGTAAAAAATGTTTTCGCCTAAAGTGAAATATTCGTTGTTCTCAGTATCTTTTTATAGGGCAAAATTCAATTGATATGTCTACAATTTAGTAAAACATGTGTTTTAAGTTTGTTTGCTCCATTTAAATTCGTGTTATTTTTTGGTTGGCTAATACTAATTAAAACAACCACATTACTTCAATACGTTCATTATTCTATATAGGCTTTTAAAGTATTTGTTTAACTATTTATTTATTTGGTTTTAATCCAACACAATTGGTCCACGTTGCCCTTTTAATCCTATTGCTTGGTAGGTATAGCTAAAAATATGATTATTATTAATTTAATTTCTGAACATTGACCGTCTTTAAAAGAATCAGATTTTATTTTCATTTTCATCGTTAATTTAAAAAAAAAAAAATCAACTCATGTTTTTTAGTGTGAGTTTAAATAGACGAATATTTCACTTTATAGTAATTCCCGGTAACAAATTAAATAGATTTAATTTGTTCCATGACACATTTGTTTGAATATTAGTTTTTAATTAAGGTGAGAAATGAATGTCTAATTCAGAAAAATAAATGTATTTTAGACGATCTGTGTGTCGTACAAATGGTTTTGGGTTTGTTTGCATTACAAAAATATAGACTGGTTCCCGCCTGTTCAGCGTAAGCGCCTAAGTATAATTTTCAAGGACGACCAAAACAAAATTTTGGACGAAAAAAAATAGTTTTGTTAATTTTGAGTATGACATAATTACAGAACACATGTTCAAAAATCTGTATTATGTTTCAAAAATACACTAATTTAACATAAATATATATTTACTTAAGTGCGATAACGTACGATTGTTTAGTTAATTATAAATATTAGTTAAAAATAATTGATCACTTATGTCATGTTAAAGAACCTTACATGACGTATTCTTCTTAGAGAGTTTTCATGAAAATAAATTCTGTAACCGACACTATAATAATACCTAATAATAAGACACAAGCGACCATGACACATTGTGTTCGTGTTAGTTATTTAAAAAATGAAAAAACAAAAAATTGCAACAATTGTACTTTAATACAAACAACAATAGCTATAAAATGTACTTGATTTTCTGTATAATGCGAGATAATTTGCAAGGTCCTCACGGGATTGTCTTTCAGCACAGTGCCTAGGAACCTTCGAAGTGAAATTGTTTGATAATAGTCTTTGACAACATCAGTGTTAACAAAGTCGAACTAGAAGTGATGTTAAAAATATTTAGTAACCGCCAAGTTTACCGCAAAGAAAAAATAATGCATGGTCCTTGCACTTGATTCAAAATATACACTTGTTAACTAATGTCGCTTACTCAAAAACGTTTTTAAATCGATATAAAATCCTACAATAGTGTAATCCTACAATCGTTACGGTTATGATGGCTTAAAGTAAATTAACGGGAACCGGTCGATTATAACACCATGAATGAAACACAGTATTTAATATGTTTTTTTTTAATTTTATCTTATTTTATTCGGATATAGATAGTTTAAATTTTTTCAGATTTAGAAATTCAATTTTTATCACTCATTGTAGATATATTGCTCCGTGAACGTTTATATAAATGTACGTTTGTTCACATTGTCTTCGTTTACATTTCCAACATTACTCAAACTTAACACTCAATTACCTGTACAAAAGAATAAAAAATTTAATTAAAGCGATGGCACACCAATTTATTCAATTTTCTTTAACAGCCTTACACTTGTTGCTGAAAATTACATATATTTTTCAATGACATTATTTATTAAATAGTTTCATCAGTACAATGTTCGAGAAAATATTTAAAATTTAATTTAAAAAGGCCAGTAGAGGGGGGGGAGGGAGATCGCAGATTTAAAGAAAATATTTTAACTGGTAAGAAAACTTTCAAAAAAACTCTTCGGTGTGAATTTGTAGGTAAATCCTAACTCTAAGGTACTTGAAAAATTCACCCCTTTCATTTAAAAATCAAGGAAATCACAAAAAATTAATATTTTAACTGATTTTCAAACTCGGCATCTAACAACCACAAAATATGTTTTTATAGCTCCATATAAACTCATACATAAATTACAACAAGTACTAATTAATATAAACTAATTTACTGGAACTTCCAAAAGATTCTTACCGACTCCAACTCCTGAACACTTTTCTCCTACAGTTTTATTTTTATGTTTTCTGGTTGTTTTTTTCTTCGTCAGACATATCTTCAATAGTATCACAAAATATACATTTACCTAAACTTTTTATAGTCCCGTGATTTTTGAGAAAAAAATATAAAAATAATAATCAATAAATCATTATTTGTTACACACGACTACTGTGTAATGCCTGCATAGTGTATTTATTGTTTTAAAATTATTTGAACGATATAGTCCAGTCAAACAAAAATTAAGATTAAAAAAAAAAGAATTTCCATTGATTTGATTTTTTATGGAAAAAAATCGTTGTATTTTAAAAAAAGTCCGCTGATTGTTGAGTATACTATTTTACGACCTAAACTATTTAACTTCTGTAACTTCTTCAATATTAAAAACATTATTACACGCGTTAAAGGTTCACTAGATTTGACATGTGGATGCTACTGAACGGTATGATAAAGATTTTATACATATTTTAAATATTAAGTTATGTGAAGTTACAAATCTACTTTACCGGACACCTTTTTCAATTTTTTTTATCTATAGTACTTTTTATACAAAATTATAGTGCTACGTAGCCGCGTTTTCACATAAAATAATTGTTTTAAGATTTTCCAATAAAATGTATGGTTAAAAACAATTATTTATGAATAATTTTGATTGTTAATCAGTGATTAAAAAAAACTAAATTAAAATGTTGGCAAAATAAATCAACTATCTAGTCAGTCAAACATGACGTTTCAGTATTTCTACTGTTTCGAGTATTTTGTCACTTTTTAGCTATTTATTTCTTCTATTATAATCCATAACAATTCCACGTAGCTATTTTAGTTTTATTGCATTAAGATTATTATTATTTATTTGATCTCTGAACATTATACAATAGATAGAGTTGTACATCATTCGAATAAGCCGTTGTCTAAGTATCCATCGTCTAGAATACCTAGTAGTCCTGTCATTCTTTGTGGTCGTAGGTCCTGGTTCAATTGCACTCTTTTTACACTCTTAAAAATAGTAAATGCATTTGCAAAAAATAAATGAAAAAAACAATTTTACCAGATGGTTTAAGTGCTGGCATACTTGTTTTACAAATACACTGCAGTTTACAAATATGCAGTCGTATTTTTGGTAGCATATTCTTTGCATTAGTTGTCTTATAAACGAAAAAAAATATAATGGACATTTAATATTATATAGTTTATATATTTTGTCAATTTAAGGATCGTCTAAAAATGATGATAGCTTAACATTTGAATTACTTAGACACGCAGACTAATACTACTTGTAAAATTATATTGCAAAATTGAGCTAATTGTTTCAATAAATATATTAATAATTTTTTTTTTTTTTTGCAGGTAAGTTGTGATTTTCATACAAAATCTATAGTTGGTGTTTAATAATCAGGGTATATTCTACAATGCAGGTACGTGTTTTCCGAGTCTAATCAATCTGGTTATTGTTATTGTATATGTATTGACTCCAGGGTCTTTTTTACTGTTGTTAATGAGTCCGTCTGCAGTTCTGTCTATGGTAATATTTTGATTTCCAAGTATATTCCCTGGAATTTTTTCGCCGTCGATCGTAAGTCCACCTCCCATAAAGCCCTGGCTTGCACCTTTGTTTCTCCGGAAACCTTATGGCGTTAGCCGTAAACCCACCGTGTACATTTCAAACTGGGTTCTCCATAAAAAAGTTTTAAAAAAAACAAATAAAAAAGGCAAAAACTTTCTTTTTACACATGATTATTTCAACTATTTTGACTACTGTGGTCGGTTTTCCCCGTTTTTTCGACTTTTCAAAATCTAAATCTCGTACTTAAGTATTCAAAACATATTAGGATCACTCTAAATAGATGTCCATAAATATATTGATTTGATTTGATAATTTTGTTTAAAGACAACGTGTTTATGTTGAAATATACAATATCTGCAAAAAAACATAGTTTGCCGGCAATATGGTATGGATACACACGAGTCCTACCTCCTGACAAATTTTCAACTAACTGGTCCTAAATATTTACGGCTAAAAGTTTGCCCCTTCTTCAAAATCGAGAAAAACGCTCAAAAAATATTAACTACATTACCATATTATCATCTGACTGTAGTGTTTTGGCGATCATTTATTAGGTATTTAATAGAATTACAAACTTGGAAAATATTTAACAGACAACTACTTACGCATCAAAAAAAAAAATGATTGTTTTATTTAATATGAGCTTTTATCGTAAGAATATTTTAATTTTCCATATTAAGTGTTCTGTTTAGATACTGCTTTTTGCTTAGCGTATTCTAATATTGCACACACGGTTTGCCACTCGAAGCGGTCTCGAATATTTGATTGAACAAATAATATTTGTGCTATTGCTATTTTGTGTTTATGACTTTATAGTTAAATTCTGGTTTATTTATGAGCAACGGTCATGTGATCATATGACGTAAAATTGAAGCTTAGCAATTCGTTTAGCAATATTGTAAAATTTGTACAAATATCTCTAGATATAATAAAATGTTTCGAACGAATTTTGAACAAACACCTAATACTTACGTGACATGCGCTGCTAGGCCAAGCAAAGAAAAAAATGTAATATTCAACATAAATATTACATTGTTACCAGTATTTTATACTTTCAGACTTCAGTTACTAGTAAATAATTATTTCGTCTATTATAGTTAAATATTCTTAGTTCTCGGTACATTTGTATAGGACAGAATTCAATTAATACACGTACAACTTAATAAAACAATTGCGTTGTAAGTTTGGTTGTATGTATTTAATAAGTGTTATTTTTTAGTTGTCGATTATTACAGGGAACAACAGCTGTAATATTTGCATAAACTCACTATTTTCGAATAATCGTTTGAACAATTTATTTCTATTATTTTAATATCATAAAATTCCCCGTAGAAAGTTTATACGTATATTATGGTCGATATAGCTATAGTATAATTATTATTATTCGGTTTCGGTTTATTTTTTATCGTTAACATTAATCGTCTCTATTATACATTTAGACGGTAGGTTTTGTTTTTTTATTTCTATCGTTCGA